AAAATGTATTTTTTTCTTTAAAAAAAAAAATATCTGTAAAAAAACTTGTTAGAAAAGAGGATATTGAATAAGTGTAAGTTTAATACTGCATTTATTGAACAAGTTGAATAAAATCATATTATGTGAGCCACTGGCGAGCATAATATTATCTTATTCAACAAGTTCAAAAAATTCAGTAATGAACTTACATTAATTTAATATTCTATATCACATACCAAAAACAAAGACTGTTTGAAGTGAAAAAGAATCATTTTTCATTGGCGCATCTTAGTATAACACTAACATTTAGCGCGTCTTAATATATTTATATAACGCAAATGACGTCATGTCAAAATATATGCACAAGTGTGCAGTTCCATTTTTACAGAGTTGCAAAAGCGGCACGGGTATGTGATAAATAAAATCAATACATGGCCTGAAGACGAACTAAAGCAAACCTTGCATAGTTGTTTTCGTTTAAAGAGAATATGTTGCAGTCGTTTTCTGTTCATCATAGAAGCCGCTTTCGTAATATTCTCTGTTTTGTTCTGGTCTCTAAGCAACGGATGTACAAATAGAACACCCCTCTCAACAAGGGCCTCATTAAACCTGAAAGATGAGTAACAATTTATACCTGTTACAAAGGTAATATACCAACATGTACAACATATTGATTATTAAAATATTATTCTGGAAAAACATTTGCTCTCTCCATTTTTCCAGAATAATAATTTTAATTGTGAAAAATTTGACTCAAAATTGAAAAATGTTGCAATGCTTTTCACTCAAATCAGACTAAGAATTGCACAAAAATGCAATTTTCCAATTCATTTGGTGTACATTTCTTACCTATCTTTTGCATATCTTTCTGTTTTAAGTGACCTAGCTGATCTAAGTAAAAAATTCAAATGTTATATGTATGTTTTTATGCTTTTGGGCCTCAGTGGAGTTCCTTTAAACAGAATGGTAACTGTAAGAACTTAATTAACCAGTCATGGTACCTATACTTAGAAAACTAAGGTAATATTTAGAATCAATTTTAAAGTTTTATGCCCCTTTGTCAAAAACTAACCTCGTTTACCAGTTATTGAATTTTCTAACCGGTTTTTAGCTAAAAACCAACCATACCTGTTTAAAAGGATAAAAGTGACAATTCTACCTATACAGTCTAACTTGCCCATGCGACCACGTGTATTAAGCGACTTTTGTCTTAAACGACCACTTTAAATTCCCCCGATCATTTTCTCTCTATATCTTTAATGTATTAAGCAACTTTTGCTCAACGCGACCAGCGACCGCTAATTAGTCACCGAATTGAGATAAAGCTTTTCATTAAACGACCACTTTTACCTGTCAAGTAATTGTGTTTTTAGAGAACGCCGCCTTGTAATGTCACAAGTGTCAACAATCAAAACACAACAAATAAACGTGTGAAAAACTCTTTCCCAAACCGTTTTAGCGTATGCAAATGAAGTTAAGTATACGCATGACGTGTAATATCCAATAAAACAGATAAATAATGCAATGCTCCGCCCCTACTCAGATGGTGTATACGCTTCGCTTGTTGACATTTAGACTGCATTGAATTGACCTTGAACTTGATCAGCAATTAAATTTATCGTAACAATTAGATGTAGTTTGTTTATTTCAAATGAAAAAATACACAACAGAAAACATCTTCACTAATAGAGTTTTCGTGTTGGAGACTAGGAAAAACAACAGAGAAGTTAACAAATTCTGGAAAAATGTCAAACATGTACGTAATGGATCAAAACTGTTTTGCACCCCGTTTTGTCAATAAATATCAGAAAGATATTTTTTACATTTGCATCCATTTAGATTATCGGAGCCTACTAATTATTCAACATTTATATAAAAATGAAGTTGAAAAACATTCCTACTGCATAAGAAAGATGTCATTTATAAATTTTGACTTTTATATCATGCTGACTGTCTTAAGAGACCGTTTCATTAAGCGACCGTTTTGGGTGTTTCCCTTGCGCGGTCGCTTAATACACGTTTGACTGTACTTACAAATTGTAAATTCTTTTATGCAGATCCATTTTCTCCTGGTCCAGTTCTTGCATTTCCTCTTTCCATCTCTTCATGCTTTGCCTAAATTTGCCATCGATTGTGTGTATATATTGCTCCATATCCTCGCGTGTATCATCAGACAAATTCATCTTTTCGTCACTCAAAACCCTTGCCACTCTTTCTGTTAACATAAATGTGCCGCGACACAACAAAACCAACATAGTGCGTTTGCGACCAGCATGGATCCAGACCAGCCTGCGCATCCGCGCAGTCTGATCAGGATCCATGCTGTTCGCTATCAGATTCTCTACTTCTAATAGAGTTGGTAAGCTAACAGCATGAATCCTGATCAGACTGTGCGAATGCGCAGGCTGGTCTGGATCCATGCTGGTTGCATACCCATTATGTTGGTTTTGTCGTGACGCGGCTCAAATGTTATATTGTTAATTAACTACAAAATTTTAAGGGTATCAACTGAAAAAAATTTAAATTGTCTTTCAAAAACCCTTCCCAAACTTTTTTAAAGTTAAAAGAAATTTTTATATTTTTTAATTGCAAAAGTAAAGCTTTAAACATAGAAAAATATTTTAAAAAGCGGTTTTGGGTTTTTTCAAGGGGGAAAAGATTTTATTTTTAGATCAATCTCAAATATATTGTCAAATAAAAAAATTAAGGTTTTAAAAGAAATTTGTCATCGCTAAAAACATAAACAAAAAGGGGAACCCACCCAAAAAATGGGCAAACCCCAAAAAAGGGGGTCGGGTCTCTAATCCAATAAGAAAAGGGAAAATATTTAAAACAAAACAAATTTTTCCTCCAAATAAACAAAAAGCGACCCTGTTTTTTAATAAAGGGTTAACCAAACAAATTTCGTTTGTTTTTGTCAACATAGCACCACTCTTTCTGGGTAATGGTATTTTCCTTTGGATGATATTTTTACTGTTACTCACAAACCTATGTGTTATTTATATAATTTTTTTTACAAAGTCGCAAAGCAGTATGGGAAAGTGATGAGTAATGTTGACTAAATGAGTAACATTATATTGGCTATTGCCAAAGGACGTGCAATCAATTTCATTCTAAAATTAACAAACCTTTCGAGTTCTAAAATTAACAAACCTTTTGAGTTCTAAAATTAACAAACCTTTTGAGTTCTAAAATTAACAAACCTTTCGAGTTCTAAAATTAACAAACCTTTCGAGTTCTAAAATTAACAAACCTTTCGAGTTCTAAAATTAACAAACCTTTCGAGTTCTAAAATTAACAAACCTTTTGAGTTCTAAAATTAACAAACCTTTTGAGTTCTAAAATTAACAAACCTTTCGAGTTCTAAAATTAACAAACCTTTTGAGTTCTAAAATTAACAAACCTTTCGAGTTCTAAAATTAACAAACCTTTTGAGTTCTAAAATTAACAAACCTTTCGAGTTCTAAAATTAACAAACCTTTTGAGTTCTAAAATTAACAAACCTTTCGAGTTCTAAAATTAACAAACCTTTCGAGTTCTAAAATTAACAAACCTTTCGAGTTCTAAAATTAACAAACCTTTTGAGTTCTAAAATTAACAAACCTTTCGAGTTCTAAAATTAACAAACCTTTTGAGTTCTAAAATTAACAAACCTTTTGAGTTCTAAAATTAACAAACCTTTCGAGTCTTTAATGGTTCTGTAAGTGATGTACTTTTCGAACAATGTCTTCAGTTTGCGACGTGGAATTTCCATAGTTTTCTGTATCATTGCAGTGCCCATCTACAAAACAAAATGTCACGTTATAATCATTTAAACCATTCAAATTGTAAACATAGATTATATATGGTCACCTTAACAACCATGGTAAATGATTTTTTACTGATTGTATGATTTATTGATTGATTGATTGATTGATTTGAACAAAAACTCTGCAAAGCTGACCTAGCATTATACAAAGGGCCATAACTGTGAACATGATCAGGCATATTATATAAAGGGATGGAAGTAAAAATACATGTTTTCAGGAATGACTCCTTTCAGAAGCTGGGATCAATTATAAAAACATTAAAGGTACTCCACTGAGGTTTTTCGACATGATTGGACTTGAAATAATTTTTAAGAATATTTTTTCATATGATATAGGTCTAGACCAATTTTATTTTATTTTTATTTAAAAAATTTCAGATCATTCACTTACTCTGTTTTTTCCAGAATTCAAATTATGAAGAAAAAAATATTAAATTGGACTGAGAATAGCACAAATATACGATTTTCAATTTATTTCTGAGTATATTACTTAATTATCTGTTGCATATCTTTCTGTTTTAAGTGCCACATGTGATCTTTTTAAGAAATAAAAACTTTATTTTTTATGCTTTTGGACCTCAGTGGAGTTCCTTTCAGAAAAACAAAATATGGGAAAACATTACAAACCATTTGAGTTTCTTTAGATATCTTATTTTGCTCATATGCAATGCTCAATATCTTCAGATTCTGTTTCTGATCAGCTATAGACATCTTCAGGTGTTCATCAACTTGTGCCCTTTTCTGAAAAACATACAAAGTGTATTAATTATTCTGAATTCATCCAATTTCAAGACATGAAATTTAAAGGGTTTTTAGCATAGAAATTTTTCACCGCTTCCTAAATATCTGGACTGTCTAGATTTGCAACATGTAAAATCCAAATACACGTCAGTGGCAGTATAGCCGAGTGGTTGACATGTAAGACTAGTAATCTAATGATAGCTAGCCTCATTGGGTTCAAACCCCGTCAGGGGTTAGTCGTTGTCTCCTTGAGCAAGAAACTTTACACTCATTGCTCCATACTGGTTGGTTCTAGGAACGGATTCTAAAGTCTGTCTTTAAGCTTTTAGGTTCCTACACAATCAAACTAAAATGAATTCTGTATAAACAAAATACATGTCATCCATGAAAACCTAAAAATTTCAGTAATTTTTACATCTCACTGATGTCAAATCCAAGAAAAGATAATAGAATTATATCAAAATTCTTAAAATATGAGATTTATCATAACATGATGTACAAATAATAAAAACTTTTCATAGTTTTACTTTCTAATGATACTATTCAGGAATCTTATTATCTTAATAAATTTTTTTTAAAAAAAGGCTTACACAGTCTTGTATTGTTCCACAAATATTTACAAATATAAACTAGTATAGTCCCATAAATGTAATGTGTAATGTAGTATCGTCCCTCAAATGTAATCTAGTATCGTCCCTCAAATGTAATCTAGTATTGTCCCACAAATGTAATCTAGTATCGTCCCTCAAATGTAATCTAGTATTGTCCAACAAATGAAATCTATAACTGTCCCACAAATGTAATCTAAAATCATCCCACAAATGTAATCTAGTATCGTCCCTCAAATGAAATCTAGTAATGTCCCACAAATGTCATCTAGTATTGTCCCACAAATGTCATCTAGTATCGTCCCTCAAATGTAATCTAGTATCGTCCCTCAAATGTAATCTAGTATTGTCCCACAAATGTAATCTAGTATTGTCCAACAAATGTAATCTAGTATTGTCCCACAAATGTAATCTAGTATTGTCCAACAAATGTAATCTAGTATCGTCCCTCAAATGTAATCTAGTATCATCCCTCAAATGTAATCTAGTATTGTCCCACAAATGTAATCTAGTATCATCCCAAAAATGTAATCTAGTATTGTCCCACAAATGTCATCTAGTATTGTCCTACAAATGTAATCTAGTATCGTCCCTCAAATGTAATCTAGTATTGTCCCACAAATGAAATCTAGTATTGTCCCACAAATGTAATTTAGTATCGTCCCTCAAATGTAATCTAGTATTGTCCCACAAATGTAATCTAGTATTGTCCCTCAAATGTAATCTAGTATTGTTCAGCAAAGGTAATCTTATATTGTCCCACAAATGTAATCTAGTATTTTCCCACAAATGTAATCTAGTATCGTCCCCAAATGTTATCTAGTATTGTTCCTCAAATGTAATCTACTATAGTCCCACAAATGTAATCTAGTAATGTCCCACAAATGCAATCTAGTATTGCCCCACAAATGTAATCTAGTATTGTCCCACAAATGTAATCTAGTATGGTCCCACAAATGTAATCTAGTATGGTCCCACAAATATAATCTAGTATTGTCCAGAATGTAATTTAGTAATGTCCCACAAATGTAATCTAGTATTGTCCCACAAATGTAATCTAGTAATGTCCCACAAATGTAATCTAGTATTGTCCCACAAATGTAATCTAGTATTGCCCCACAAATGTCATCTAGTATTATCACACAAATGATAATAATTATAATTTAAGCACCTGTTTCTTCTCCATTTTAATCTGTGATATCATTATCGTCTCCTGCTCTTCCAACTTTTTCTGCATTGTATCATGGAAGTCACCTTGTCTGTAAGAAATCAAACAAGGGAGACAATTCACACACTTGTACAATAAAAATACATATAAAGTTCAAGAACAATAAGGCTTGGATGCCCCTCCCCTTTCTACTGTTTTTTTTTTTCAGCCTTAAAGCTGCATGCCTCCAGATGTCCCAAAATATTTCAAAAAAATTAAACTCGGAAAAACCATACTAAAACTTTGAGAAAAGTGAACAAATGAAAGATTCAAGTGATAATTTAAATCTTATGTGCAATTAATGACTGTATTTTGTAGTATTTATCACCATATTTCTACTGCTTTACTAACGCAGTAGGGGCTATTTATGCATATTTTGACCTCTTTTTGGTAATTTATGTGGATTTTAAGTGCCGATTGTAATGTGTCAAGTACTTTCTTTGTTCATTTCACAATATGTTACCTTTAAATTCATTTTCAAAATTTTCATGAAAATTAGGATGAATCTGGAGGCCTGCTGCTTTAATGCATCAGACTAGTAATTGATTGCTGTGTGGGTTCAAACTCTGTCAAGGGCAAGCCATGTTTCCTTGAGCAAGAAACTTTACACTCATTGCTAGGTACTGGTTGGTTCCAGGAATGGATTCAAGAGTGTTTCAATTAGCTTATAGCATCCAACAAAATCAAACTAAAACAAATTAATATAAACTCAAAAACTGTGAATTCACTTAATTTCGTGGACATGAAATTTTGTGGTTTTGTCACAAAGTTCATTTTTGTGGATACTTAAATTTGTGGACTGTTCCAATAAATAGGTAAAATGAGCCGTGTGACGACAAAACCAACATAGTGCTTTTGCGACCAGCATGGAACCAGACCAGCCTGCGCATCCGCGCAGTCTGATCAGGATCCATGCTGTTCGCTATCAGTTTCTCTACTTGTAATAGAGTTGGTAAGCGAACAGCATGGATCCTGATCAGACTGCGCGGATGCGCAGGCTGGTCTGGGTCCATGCTGGTCGCAAACGCACTATGTTGGTTTTGTCGTGACACGGCTCAAATGTAAATACACTGTATTGTGACGCAGACTAACTTTACAGCAGACAAAATAAAATTTTGTTGGATTTTGAATTCGTGGAGTGACCTGTCCACGAAAACCACCAAAATTAGTCCCCCACGAATAATAATGATTTTTCAGTAATATTGATATGATTTATTCGAAAATACTTACAAGACTTCCATATCTCTCTGCATGCCCTGGTAAAGTTTCATCATGTTGTTATACCTTGATAGAAGATCTAGGTATTGCCTATCCTGAATAAGGCAAAAAAAGATCAATTTTACCAGGGTCTTTCAAATAGTAAGTACCTGAACAAGGCAAAAAGATCAATTTACCAGGATCTTTCGAAAAGTAAGTACAGTACAGAAGAAATAATGCCTTGATATTAATATGTGTATGATTATAACTCTCAGGTACAAAATCAATAGCGAGGCATTTTTATCATAGTGAGTAGGGTTTACGAAGCTCATCTTCATACGGTTCTAATTGAAAGACCCTAATTTTACATAAAGGAGATCACCACTCCAAATGCCTATAAACGTATTAATTGTAAATCTTACATTAGATCAACTTTTAAAAGACAATAGTGAAATACCCTACAAATTACATGTAAATTGAAAAATTTAAATCAATTTTTATTTGTGTGTGTGTGTGTGTGATTATTACCCTGATTGAGATAAAAGCTTAAAGGGATGCTCGGGCAAATTAATGATAAAAATATTAAAATGCTTTTATGTACTCAAATCACGCTAAAATGACAATTTTTAAAAGTCCCAGCATGCTTCTCTGTATAAATTCTATAAATTTGGGGTTTTAAGTGTAACTATATATCTAAATATATCTATACATATATATTGAACGAAATTTAGACACCGACTGAATCACCGAGTGTTTTAAAACAAGTCATGTGACTTGAACAAACCCTGTAAGTTACAATAACAGATATGTTTGATATTGTATGATTGAAACAAGTCTAAGTCGTTCATCTGACATGTTCTTTAATGTCTCCAGTGTTATTTTTGACATCTATTGTGAAATCCTAATGCTCTAACCTGACCAATGGGGGTCAGGTTAGGAAACCACCATTTTATTGTTTATAAGGAGAAAAGTTGTGTTCCTGTAACTGCCAAGTGTACTTGTTTTGAGGACATTTACAGATTAATGAATAAAAACTCAAAACGAAGAAATGAAAATTTTGCCTGTGTCTCCCTTTAAAGGAGTTTCAGTCAGGTAAACAAAAAACTCTAAAACACAAAATTTGAAATTCTCTAATTGATCAAATCTGAAAAAACTGCAAAAAAATACTCAGATTTAAATTCAAAATCAATTTTTAGAATGATTATTAGCTCAGTTTGGGTAAAAAGCATTGCAATGCTTTTCAATTTGTGTTCATTTTGCACTACAAAAGGGATTGTAATGGGAAACAGAAAGAGGGAATGATCTGATATTTTGCTTACAAGTTATAAGCCCAAACATACATCAAAGGGAACACAAGTCTTGATAAAATATTTCCAGTCATTTCATGAGTGGAGTCCATTAAAAATGTAGGCCCATTATTCTTCATTACCTTGTACTTTATTTTTTAATGGGATTAAGTAAATCATTACAAAAAGAACAAATTTGTTTGAGTTTTTTTGTTGTTGTTATTCTTAATCTAAAAAAAAATTTTTATTTATACTTGTAAAACATATCTAAATTAAAGTAAATAGAATATAAATTTACCGTAGCAAAGTTTTTTGTATTCTGTTTGGCATTCTTCAATTTATTTTTGGCTTTCTTAAGAGATTTAGCCAGAGAGTTCACATTCTTTTTTGGTTCCTTCATTGCCCTGGCTTTCCTCTATAGAAATAAAAACACAATACACTGATTAACAGTTTCCACACTAGCAGACGACAGGTAATTCTTATCAGTAGTTTTGCTAGGTAAGACAAGAGGGCCATGATGGCCCTGAGGTCGCTCACCTGTATATAGGCCCCCCAACCCCCAACCCCCCCAAACGTTGCAGGGCCAATTTAACCAAAGGGCTTTTATTTGCACAAACTTGGTAGACACCCATAAGAAGATGTTTCATGCTAAACATCTAAGCTCTAGCTCATTGGGCTATTTAAAAGAAGATTTTTTTTAAAGTTTTTACTATACACATATAGTTAAAAACAATGACACCCCTGGGGCCGGGCCAGTTATTACCCCAGGGTTTTTATTTGAACAAACTTTGTAGACACTTACTAGAATATGTTTCATGCTTAATATCTAAACTCTAGCTATTTGGTTTTTTTCAAAGAAGATTTTAAGTTTTTGCTATACACATATAAGGAAAATCAATGACCCCGGGGCGGGGCCAATTTTGACCCCAGGTCTTTTATTTGAACAAACTTTGTAGACACTCACTTAAAGATGTTTCATGCTTAATATCTTAACTCTAGCTATTTGGGTTATTTCAAAAAAGATTTTTTAAGTTTTTGCTATACACATATAAGGAAAATCAATGACCCCCTGGGCGGGGCCAATTTTGACCCCAGGGCTTTTATTTGAACAAACTTGGTAGACACCTATTAGAACATGTTTGATGCTAAATATCTTAACCATAGCTCTTTGAGTTCTTTAAAAGAAGATTTTTTAAGTTTTTACTATATGCATATATAGGGAAAATCAATGACACCCGGGGCGGGGTCAATTTTGACCCCAGGGCTTTTATTTGAACAAACTTGGTAGAAACTTATTAGAACATGTTTCATGCTAAATATCTTAGCTCTAACTCTTTTGGTTCTTTAAAAGAAGATTTTTTAAGTTTTTACTATATGCATATAGGGAAAATCAATGATCCCCTGGGGCGGGGCCAATTTTGACCCCAGGGCTTTTCTTTGAACTAACTTGGTAGACACCTATTAGAACATGTTTGATGCTCAATATCTTAGCCATAGCTCTTTGAGTTCTTTAAAAGAAGATTTTTTAAGTTTTTACTATATGCATATAGGGAAAATCAATGACCCCCCGGGGCGGGGCCAATTTTGACCCCAGGGCTTTTATTTGAACAAACTTGGTAGACACTCACTAGAAGATGTTTCATGCCAAATATCTAAGCTCTAGCTCTTATGGTTTTTTAAAAGAAGATATTTAAAGTTTTTTCTTTCGGTTGCCATGGCAACCAGAGTTCTGCATGGAATTAAATTCTTTGAACAATTTTTAAAGGTGACCACCAAAGGAACATTCCTGTGAAGTTTGGATGAAATTGGCTCAGCGGTTTATGAGGAGATGTCATTTAAAGTAAAAGTTTACGGACGACGGACGGACGGACGGACGACGGACGCCGGACGAAAAGCGATCACAAAAGCTCACCCTGTCACATTGTGACAGGTGAGCTAAAAATCGGTTGCCTATCTCACTGTATAAATCATACGAGCCGTGTCACGACAAAACCAACATCGTGCGTTTGCCACCAGCATGGATCCAGACCAGCCTGCGCATCCGCGCAGTCTGATCAGGATCCATGCTGTTCGCTTACAAACCTTATAACAAGTAGAGAAACTGATAGCGAACAGCATGGATCCTGATCAGACTGCGTTGATGCACAGGCTGGTCTGGATCCATGCTGGTCGCAAACCCATTATGTTGATTTTGTCTTGGCACGGCTCATTTATGCTTCCAAGGGATCACCCGTCTTCCTGATTTTTCTACAAAGATATATAATTAACAAGCGAGAAAAATAAAAGCAACACAATATGTCTATGTCGGACAAGATATTGTCACCTTAGTGCAATAACTGGTTAACTCCTATTAAATTTATAATGACTTAGTGCAATAACTGGTTAACTCCTATTAAATTTATAATGACTTAGTGCAATAACTGGTTAACTCCTATTAAATTAGTTATGACTTAGTGCAATAACTGGTTAACTCCTATTAAATTTGTAATGACTTAGTGCAATAACTGGTTAACTCCTATTAAATTTATAATGACTTAGTGCAATAACTGGTTAACTCCTATTAAATTTATAATGACTTAGTGCAATAACTGGTTAACTCCCATTAAATTTATAATGACTTAGTGCAATAACTGGTTAACTCCTATTAAATTTATAATGACTTAGTGCAATAACTGGTTAACTCCTATTAAATTTATAATGACTTAGTGCAATAACTGGTTAACTCCTATTAAATTTATAATGACTTAACTCGTTACTGCATTAAGATGATGCTATGACAACATACCTGCACTTCTTTCATGGCTAATCTATGCTGAACCTCGGCCTCCACTTGTTTATCAATCTGATATTTCATCAAGACTCTCAAAGCGAGGAACGCATTACTTAAGATACCTTCCATCTTGTTTAAATCTAAAAATAAAAACCATTCTAAGATGTATGACCTTCACATAAAAAGTAGGACTGCATCTTGTTTAAATCTAAAAATAAAAATCATTCAAAAATATATGACCTTCACATAAAAAGTAGGACTGCATCTTGTTTAAATCTAAAAATAAAAATCATTCAAAAAATGTATAACCTTCACATAAAAAGTAGGTCTGCACACATGGGTCTCACTAGGAATCTGAGGGTTGTTGATGGCAAAGGTTCGAATCCTGTCAAGGACAAAGGTTCAAATCCCATCACAGGCAAGCTGTTGTTTCCTTGAGCAGGAAACATTGCATTAATTGCTTACGGGAATGGTTTCAAAAGTATGTCTAATATAATTTAAGCTTATGGCTTCCTACACAATCAAACTAAAATAATTTTTGTATAAACTAATGAAAGCAGATACAAGCTACATGTATACTCCAATAGGATCTTGATTATATTAAAGGAGTCCAACTGCGGAAAAAAAAGCCTTTAACCATAAAATTTGAAATTCTTACATAATTATATCTTGTAAGACATTTAAAATGGAAAATTCTGCAAAGAAAATAAAGAAATATACTCAGAATTAAAAAAAAATATCAACTTTTAGTGCAATTCTTAGCCTAATTTGATTGGAAAAAAAATGCAACACTTCTGGTTCATTTTGCACAATTAAAATGATTATTTAGGGGAAAAAAACATGGCGAGGGAATGATCTGAAAAATTAAGGCCCCAGTTATTGGTCCAGGCCTTCACCAAATGGTGCACAAATCTAGGAAAAAATATTTCCTGTCCAGTCAGGTCAAAAAACCTCAGTGGAGTCCCTTTAAGAACCTAATCGGAGTATCACAAATACAAAGTGTGACAAAATAATTAAACAAGAGGGCCATGATGGCCCTGAAGTAGCTCACCTGTACATAGGCCCCCAGAGCGGGGCCAGTTTAAAGCCCGGGGCTTTAATTTGAACAAGCTTTGTAGACAACCATTAGAAGATGTTTCATGCTAAACATCTAAGGTCTAGCTCATTGGGATTTTTAAAAGAAGATTTTTTTTAAGTTTTTTCTTTACACATATACTAGTAGTTAAAAACAATGACACACTTGGGGCAGGGCCAGTTTGACCCCAGGGCTTTTATTTGAACAATCTTTGTAGACACTTACTAGAAAATGTTTCATGCTTAATATCTAAACTCTAGCTATTTGGGTTTTTCCAAATAAGATTTTTAAGTTTTTGCTATACTCGTATAAGGAAAATCAATGTCCCCCGGGGCGGGGCCAATTTTGACTCCAGGGCTATTATTTGAACAAACTTTGAAGACACTCACTAGAAGATACTTCGTGCTTAATATCTAAACTCTAGCTATTTGAGTTTTTTCAAAGAAGATTTTTCAATTTTTGCTATAGTTTTACACATATAGGGAAAATGAATGACCTCCGGGGTGGGGCCAATTTTGACCCCAGGGCTTTTATTTGAACAAACTTTATAGACAATCACTAGAAGATGTTTCACGCTTAATATCTAAACTCTAGCTACTTGGTTTTTTCCAAAGAAGATTTTTTTAATTTTTTCCTATACACATATAAGGAAATTTGGAAAATCAATGACCCCCAGGGCCGGGCAAATTTTGACCCCAGGGCTTTTATTTGAACAAACTTGGTAGACACCCATTAGAAGATGTTTCATGCTAAATATCTAAGCTCTAGCTCTTTGGGTTCTTTAAAAGAAGATTTTTTAAGTTTTTACTATATGTATACAGTGGAACCTGTCTAATCCGAACTTGTCCGGACCAGAAGAAAAGTTCGGATTAGAAAGGTTTCCGGATTAGAAACGTTTCCGAATAAGAAGGGTTTTTTTACATTTTTTTCATGTTATTTGCAAAATAGTTTAAGGAAAGAAAACGGGAAAGCATTTGAAATTGCAATTTAGATATTTTATTTTGCAGTATCTTTTCGTTCATTTTAATACATGTGAAAACAAAAATAAAGAAATGAAAAAATCAATAAATAAGCAAAAATATTATGTCCTCAAGGGTAAGTAAACCTACGATATTAAACAGGAGGCCGAGACATGATTTAATATTCGTACCAGCATTTGTCAATTGTTGTTTACGCTTATCCGATTCAGCGACTATCCGAATTCACCGACAGTTTCCATTAAGTTTCATTACTTAATCACGTATCATTAAATCCATTACAAAGGATTAACAGATATTTCTATTGCATTATATCAAAATATTTATAGCAGCTGACGAAAAACAATCAATAAAGCAATTAAAGAAGATATAAAGGCAAGCTAAGTGTAATTTTACACCTTCGCAGATAATACGTTTCACCCATTAATCAAGCTATTAACACTTATCAGTACACCTGCAAGATGTGCCATTATTTGTTATTTTGAATGTGTTGCAAAATCTGTTCGGATCCGAGAGGTAAATTTTAGAGTAAAATAAGAAAAAAAATTGAAAAAAATCGTCCGGAATTCAGAGTAGACAGGTTCCGGATCCGAAAGGTTTTTTACTATTGAAAATAGAACGAATAAAATCGGGACTGGACACTTCGTTCGGATTAGAAAGGATTCCGGATTAGAAGGGTTCGGATTAGCAAGGCTCCACTGTATATGGAAAATCAATGACCCCCTGGGGTGGGGCCAACTTTGACCCCAGGGCTTTTATTTGAACAAACTTGGTAGACATCCATTAGAAGATGTTTCATGCTAAATATCTTAGCTCTAGCTCTTTTGGTTCTTTAAAAGAAGATTTTTTAAGTTTTTACTATATGTATATAGGGAAAATCAATGACCCCCTGGGGCGGGGCCAATTTTGACCCCAGGGCTTTTATTTGAACAAACTTGGTAGACATCTATTAGAAGATGTTTCATGCTAAATATCTTAGCTCTAGCTCTTTTGGTTCTTTAAAAGAAGATTTTTTAAGTTTTTACTATATGCATATAGGGAAAATCAATGACCCCCCTGGGGCGGGGCCAATTTTGACCCCAGGGCTTTTATTTGAACAAACTTGGTAGACACCCATTAGAAGATGTTTCATGCTAAATATCTTAGCTCTAGCTCTTTGGGTACTTTAAAAGAAGATTTTTTAAGTTTTTACTATATGCATATAGGGAAAATCAATGACCCCCTGGGGCGGGGCCAATTTTGACCCCAGAGCTTTTATTTGAAAAAAAATCTAAGCTCTAGCTCTTTGGGTTTTTTAGAAGAAGATATTTAAAGTTTTTTCTTTCGGTTGCCATGGCAACCAGAGTTCTGCATGGAATTAAATTCTTTGAACAATTTTCAAAGGTGACCACCAAAGGAACACTCCTGTGAAGTTTGGATGAAATTGGCTTAGTGGTTTATGAGGAGATGTCATTTAAAGTAAAAGTTTACGGACGACAGACGGATGACGGACGGACGCCGGACGAAAAGCGATCACAAAAGCTCACCCTGTCACTTTGTTACAGGTGAGCTAAAAAGAAAAGAAATGACTTACAATCTACAACTATGCCCACTAAAGCAGCCAACATGTCCTTCGGATCAGGTGATAACTATAAAACAACAATTTGCACAATTATTAGAGAAGTATGTATATCTATAACTAGTATTTGCTATTCTGAAATGAAATTTTATTTTGTTTGGGTTTTACGATTAACAACACAGTATAAGTTATATGGTGACTTTCAAGTTTTAATAGTGAAGAAAGACCTGCGGTGCCCCTCTGTGCATTACTTTAGGTACGAATGGACACTTGAGTAGAACCACCAACATTCCGTAAGCTAGCTAGACAGCTTCCTCACATGAAAGACTCTGTTGCGAATCAAACTCACAGAGGTGAGGAGCCAGAGATTTAAAGTCAACAACCTTAACAACTCAGGATGGACACACCCCCTAAAATGTTCCTGTAAAGAAGCTTATGTGGTATTGAGTAAACAAACTTGTACATTTAGTACTAGTTTAGACCTTAACAAAGTTTCTTAATAACTTATTTTCCAAAAGAAGAAAATGTTGGTTTAAAATTATTTTAATAAACAGAAATGAATTTGTTAAGGAAAATTTAATTCTTTTTACATCATAATGATGCTTATATTTGTTACCTGACTAGGACAAATCTTAAGCTACGGGAACAGTAGTTCCTTCCATTATTGTAAATGTAAACACTTTTAAAAACAACAACATTTTAAAAAAGTGACCATGTAACAAATCAGTCAGTAACAATTTTGTTTTATTTTCACAACATGTACTTTCATACTGATAATTATGACACATAAAAATTATATACATAAAGAACATTTTCTATAAAATGCCCCGCCCCTAGTGTATTACATTTTACAAAATGGGAAGTTAATAAAAGTACCCAAAAAAGTTAAATGTTGTATAAATAAAAAGAAAGTTTACTGTTTTGTGATATTTTCCACTGGATTATACATGTATATATATGTACTAAATTAACAAGCTGTTAAAATTAGGGGGAGGTGCATTTATTAGAGAATATGTGCTAATTAACATCTACGAAGCATCATGCATAATAATGCAAAAGAAATAAGAAAATGGGCAAGCAGCTATCTAATAAGTTTAGATTTAAATTTAGTGCATCAAATACAGAAAACCTGAAAATCTACAGGCTGTGGAACAGCCTGGGCAAAACAGACAATTGATTCTTCTGTCACCAATGTCCATAAAAAGAGTACTTATAGTACAAAATCAGTCTAGTTGATGTTGTGTAAGAAAATCACATAAAGGTCAAGTGAAATGAATATACATGTATGTACATTTCATGAAATCTTGATGCACCAACCCTTTGCAACACCCTGTCCCCTATTGCCCTCTCCCTTGCCACCCCTTATAAAAGGGGCAGCAGGGTAAATGAGCCAATGCTTTAATTTCCATAACTCATTCCTGCTGGATAAATGTTTTGATTTGGAGCCAAAAAAGGGAAAGAATAATATCAAACTTACATTAACTTTAGAGGCCATTTAGCAGGGATTACATCATCCGAATTTCTGTGCATGGAGAGGCCTTTACTACTAGTTTGATTAACTGAAAGAAAATTCCCCACTATTTCCAAGTATTGAGGGCGGGGTAAAAGTCAGCTGGTGCAAAAAAAAGATTTCATAAAGTGTGTATCACAGAAAAAAAAGATGAAGCTTTTCCTATGACTATGTATAACCATATAAACAGTGGTAAATTTTATTATTGTGGCAAAGTTAGATATTGTGGTAAAAGGGTAAAAAAGTGATTTATGAAAACGACATATGTATATTCTTTAAGAAAATTTGGCAAAATTAGAACTGCTGACATAAAGGGTCACACATTTTTTTCTTACCTTTGAAGTAAAACTGCTGTAAAAAATATAAACATAAGAGAACATTGTATAACTTAACAGTATCTAGTACTAAAACTTGTATCATGGTTTATGACTGTTCTTTTTTTTAGGGGAGCTAAAATTATGTGTAAGCAACCCGATGGCTGAGTCTGTAGTCGCGAATGGTATTCAGAGGGTCCCAAGTTCAAATCCTGGTCCGGCTGCATATTTTTCTCACCTTGTAACACAATGTCATGGAATTTTACATATTATAAAACATTGTCAACTCAAAGCTACTGTATAACCTTTTAGTACTGTACAATCTGGTTAAACATTCGGTACGGTATAACCTGATGAAAATATTTAGTACTGCATAACCTGGTTATATTTAGTACTTTTCAGATTTATTAAACACTTATGATTATAGATGCCTGCAATATATAACAAGAGCTGTCCGTAAGACAGCGCGCTCGACTTTTTTATTGCTTGCCAATAAAAAAAGTTTTTGCAGTAAAAGGCAATACAAGAATCTCTGTATTTTTAAAGTGAACTAGTTGTTTGATACCCTTGAATATTACAGCAATGTTTATATGACATAATTTATGGTAAAGTGAACAAGTGGATAGGAATGAATTTTTTTAGATTTTTTAAGTTTTTTAGTGCTTGCCTATAATACAAAACATTGACAGTTAAGGGCCATAATTCAAATAAAATCTTTGACAGAATTACCTTCTCCTGGACATGTTTGGGAATCATGATTGTAAACAAGTATTCCAACTTTCAAATTAATATCTCAAACAGTTCAGTCAAAAAGTGGACTGGTACTAAAAACTTAACCAAGATTCTAAGTCGATAAAAGGCCTTAATTTTTAAAACAAATCCTTGACAGAGTTACCTTCTCTTGCGTACAGATGGGGTAATGATGTGAAATAGCATTAAAAGTTTCAAAGCAATATCTCAAAGGGTTAAGGCAATAAGTGGATTTTACCCATATTCAATGTATTTTCTAAGTCAAAAAGGGGCATAATTCTGTCAAAAACCTTGACAGAGTTATGTCCTCTTGTCTGTTGATGAAGGTCGTGATGGTAAACAAGTATGGTCAGTTTCAAAGCAAATACCTCCAATGGTTTTGAAATAAAGTGAGGTGGTACAAAAAACTTAACCAAGCTCAATACACTTTCTAAGTCAAAAAAGGGCCATAATTCTGTCAAAAACCTTGACAGAGTTATGTACTCTTGTCTGTAGATGGAGGTTATGATGGTGAACAAGTATGGTAAGTTTCAAAGCCATACTTGTAATACTTCTGAAATAAAGTGGGGTGGTACGAAAAACTTAACCAAGGTGTGACGCCAACGCCGACGCCGACGCCGGGGCGAGTAGGATAGCTCCCCTTTTCATAGAAAAGTCGAGCTAAAAATTATAACCTGAATAAATTTACTATAAAACAATGATTTATTTTTTTTAGGGCTGGGAATTATATTCGAATATTCGAAACACTACCGAATGTTCGAACATTGAAAAACAAATACAAATATTCGAAAAAAAAAGAATGTTTTTTTTTTTTTGTTATTACTTTAAAATTTCAATTAAGATCTTAAAGTAAATCATTGACCTTTACTTGACCAGGTGTTCACACGTTTGTATGACGCGTGTCAATGGTTATCGCCAAATAACTGTGAAAACTATGGGGTCTAGTTGATCAAAAGGGCACCGTTTCACTTTTTGCAATTTACCTGTTTAACAGTTTAGAATGTCTGATTTTTTAAATAAAACCTAATTATTTTGTTGCCATTGCAACACTTACCTTATCTTTAATATCACCTAATTCTTGCAGAGCCTGAGCTTGATCAGCAAGGTTCTCTTTCTCAAAACACACCATCAAGTGATCACGGAAATGCATGATTCCTCGTAGCATGCGTAAAGTGTCTTTATGTATGCTTGTCAATTGATCTTTATGAAGGAATTCCATTTTCTTTATACTTGCATCACCTCTGAAAGAAATTTTTACAGAAGGGTTAGTCCCCAGTCCCCAAGATAATGAGATAAAAATGTATATGAAAGCACAATAAGACAAAAGGGCCATGATGGCCCTTTTATCGCTCATCTGATTATGCATATTCAATACTATTTTATTTTAGCTTTGTGACCTAGATTTTGACCACAGATGACCCATATTCTAACTTGACCTAGAAATCACCATACAACTTTTTTTGCCAATTTTCAATGATATTGGATCAAAATAGTAGCCTCTAGTGCAAGAGTTTTCCATATTTGGGTTGTGTGACATAGTTTTTGACCACAGATGACCTATATTTGAACCTGACCTAGAATTCACCAAAACCACTTTTCTGACCATTTTTTAGAATACACATTGTATTTGGATCAAACAGTAGCCTCTAAAGTGTTAACATATTTTCCATATTTGTAAATTGAGACCTAGATTTTGACCTCAGATGACCAATAATCAAACTTGACCTAGAAAACATCAAAACAATCTTTCTGACCAATTTCAAACATACTTGAATCAAAATAGTAGCCTCTATAGTGTTAACAAGAATTTTCCATGTTTGGGCTATGTGAACTAGTTTTTGACCACAGATACTACTGTACCACACTACTAGAAATCACTAAACCAACATTTCTGACTAATTTCCAAGATATTTTGATCAAAACAGAGCCTCTAGAATGTTGACAAGGTTTTTTCTCATATTTGGGCTGTGTGTCCTAGGTTTTGACCCAAGGTGACCCATGTTCGAACTTGACCTAGAAATCATCAAATCAACCTTTCGGACCAATTTCCAGGATATTTTTATCAAAACAGTAGCCTCTAGAGTGTTAACAAGGTTTTTCCATATTTTGACTGACCTATATTTTAACCACAGATGACTCATAAATCAAATCTGACCTAGAAATCATCACAATAACCTTTTTGACCAATTTTCAGGATATTTGGATGAAAATAGTAGCCACTAGAGGGTTAACAAGATTATTCTACTTTTAGCTCCTTCGACCTAGTCTTTCATCCCCGATGACCCATGTTCAAACTCATTCGAGCAGTAACTTTAACAAACAATCCTGACCAAGTTTGATGATGACTAAGGCAAAAGTGTGACCACTAACAAACAAATGTGGATGTACAACCAACATTCAACAATCCTAAAATCTCACCATAAGCTAGCTCAGGTGAGCTAAAAATAGCCCATAAATAAATATTATGTAATTTTAGTTTCATTACATAGAGTACATAGAATTGTTAAAAAGTAGAATTATGCAGATAAGTTGAATTCGTGAAAGTGGATTGCCCTGCTTTGAATTCGGAACTATCATGAAAGTGGATTGCCCTGCTTTGAATTCGGAACTATCGTGAAAGTGGATTGCCCTGCTTTGAATTCGGAACTATCGTGAAAGTGGATTGCCCTGCTTTGAATTCGGAACAATCTGTTTGAATTTTCAGGATTTTCAATATCAAAATACAAGCATCCAACATGTTTATAATGCCTAGTCAGACAATATAGATGTCAAAACTAAATCAAAATTCTAATTTGCGAGGCTAAATATTTAAAATGTTCATTTTTTCAATTTTTTTTTATAAAATTTATATGATTTTAGTGTGCAAGTCTTCAAGTCATCAAGTTTAAGAAATTTAAATCCCTTGTGAAAGTTTTTGATAATGTATACATCTGTCAAAGGCATCATGTTCATTCTCTGCAGGGTAAAGGTTATAGTAAATTTTACCACATATAAATAAACACAAATTACTTGAGTAAAAATAAAATTACCTTGCTTTTTCTTTCTTGACATGTGACTTGACCTTCTCAAGTTCTGCTTCAAAGTCTTTCTTCATGCCTGTCATCAATGTCTTGACGTAACTCACATCTTTATCTTGTCCCTATTATAAAACAATTATATATGTGCTTATCTTGGTGAAAATGTTTAGTACTATATATCCGGGTGATAATATCTAGTATTGTTTTACCTGGTGATAATATTTCATCCTAAAAAACCTGGTAATAATATATAGAATTGTATAACCTGGTGATAATATTAAGTACTGTATAACCTGGTCATAAGATTTGGTACTGTATAACCTGGTGATTATATTTAGTACTGTATAATTTTGTTATATTAAGTACTTCATAATCTTGCTATATTAAGTATTGTATAACCTGATAATATTTAGTACTGTATAACCTTGTGATATTTATAACTGGTTAACATCGATATATTTACTACTGCTTAACTTTGCTAATTAAGTACTGTATGACCTTGTGAAATTTAGTACTGTATAATCTAGTTATATTAAGTACTGCATAACCTGGTTAAGTATTAAGTACCCTATAGGCTGGTAAAATATCAAGTACTCTATAACCTTGTTAAATTTAGAACTGAATAAACTGGTTAAATATCTAGTACTGTACTACCTTACTTTATTTATAACGGTATAACCTTGTGATATTTAGTACTGTATAACCTGATATTTAGTACAGTTTAACCTGGTTTAATAGCACTGTTTAACCATATTATATTTAGTACTGTACAACCTGGTTAAAAATTTAGTACTGTATAACCTTGTTACATTTAATGCTGTACAACCTGGTTAAATATTTAGTACTGTATAACCTTGTTATACTTCGTAAAGGCAACGTTCACAGGACACATTGGCATTTGGTTATTTGCATTTTTAAAAGATTATATGTCAGTCCTGTGAGCAGCAGAAATTTCAGTGAAAAGGGGGGTAATCATCTTTGGGGACACTTTGCAAAAAAGTTTGGTCGATCAACACACATCACATCTTTACCATGAATACTCAATTTTAAGGTTGCTTTAGCGGTCAAATCTTATAATGTAAGTCTATAGGAACATTAGTATGGTAGTCTGACCATAACCGGGTGATATTATTTAGGTCTTTTCAACCTGGTAATAATATTTAGTACTCTATAACCTGGTGATGATTTTTAGTACTTTACAACCTGGTTATAATATTAAGTACTCTATAACCTGGAGACAATTTTTATATACTATTTTGATAAAAGTTTTACATTGTTAACTTGTTCTGCAACAGGAGTTTCGGGAACGTTAGTCGTTGGTCGTTCCTGAGCCTCTTTCTCCAAAATTGTGATTCTCGCCATCAGGCCTTTATTCTTTTCTTGTTCTGCACGACACAAATCTTTCACTGTCTGCAGTTCTGCCAAGTATTTCTCTATGTCACTCTAAATAAATACCAGAATATAATTCACTATACAATTACGTGTAACAATTTAATTTATACGACAATTAAAAATCTTTATTAATTTAAAATAAGAGTTAAAACAAGATTTCACAAAAATAATTTTGAAGTGTATTTGTGACCAGATAAAAAACTACACTGTTGATAAATTGTTTTAGAATATTAATATGAACTAAAAAAAACTGCTGGGGGATTAATGATTCAGAAGTTTAAGGAATCAATGGTCTTTATTTCATGTTAAAAGTTCAAGCTTCTCTTAACTTTAATTTAGGTGTTTTATAAACTTTAAGCAAATCAAAACGGATGGCCTAATGGGATAAATTTAGTACATTGTTTGGAAAGAACTTGTTTGGAAAGAACTTGTTTTGAAAGAACTTGTTTTGAAAGAACTTGTATACACAAGGACCTTCTTTGTACATGTAAATATACTAGAATGTTTCTATGCTTTGTGACAGTTGAATTGTCACAAGCAGAATGAGTTTAGTTCTTTCCTATTACAGATATAAACAACTTCATAGGAGCGTCCGTGGCTGAGTGGTAAAGGTTGTTCACTTCAAACCACTTGCCCCATACAGCTGTGGGTTCGAAACCCCGACAGGCACTTTGAATTATTTCATGTGAGGAAGCTATCCAGCTAGCTCACAGAACATTGGTGGTTCTACTCAGGTGCCTGTTCGTGCCTGAAAAATTGCAACGGAAGAGCACCTTCCTCCACCAGTAAAGCCCAATCAAAAACAGTCAGTACATATACTGAAATTTTCCCCATAAAATGATGATTTTTTTCTCTCTAAATTTAAGATATTTAGTGGGGTAAGTGACATCTACAATTTTTTTCTTCATAAGTAAAACGGTTATGCTGCCATGTTTTTTTCTTTTTGCCCCATATGAAACAAAATAAAAGAAAAGTTTCATCTAATAATAATGACCTTTGCCCCCTCTAGTTCCTCTTCCACTTCTTTCAGCTTTAGTTCAGTTGATGAATCAACAACCTTCACATAAACTTTCTCTGCAAAAATAATGTAATACAATTTATACAAACTAATACAAAATCATCTTTACAATTTAGGTGCCATATGATCTAAATTGTGTGGTTGTCCTGCCGCAAAACCAAACAAAACAAGTTAATTGAGGCTTTACTGCAAAACTGCAGTAACTTATAATATGAAATAAAGAAGGACGTACAACAGTCTTAGCAGTCAACCCTTGAAATACTATGTGAAAGGATAATATCTTAACATACCAGGTGACGGAGGGGGTGAAGGGGTTGGAGGGGGTGTTGGTGTCCTCTTCATCTCTGTCAACTCTGATTGTATATATTTAATCTTGCTAGTTAACTCCGCAATCTTGTCATGCATTTCCTTATTCTTTGTTTGTAGCTTTTCCTAAATACAAACAAGCTGAATATTAATATTACAAATACTGTTGGAATTGTTGGAAATTTTCATTTTGTAAAATTTGCATTTTTTTTTACCTTTTTACAAGATAAGTGCAAATTTTTCATGTGCTTTGCATAATCAAGCACATTTTACTTACAACAGAGTATATTTCTGACAAAATTTGCAGTAACTTATGACACATTCTTGACATCCCCATTCAAACATAGTCTGGCTACTGTAAAAATTATACTCTACAATTTCACAGTAAAATTATCGAAATATAATTTCACTGTCTTCTGAAAAGCATGTAATAAAACCTCAACTACAAGGTTACAAATGTCCCTCAAGTTTGACACTTACCAGAGCGTTTTTGGTATCAAACAGTTCCAGGGATTGTTTGTTAAATTTCCTCTTTTGATCATCTATCTCTCTACCAAGTTTATCACACTGCGACTTGGCTAAATTAAGTTTCTAAAACAAAACAGTATAATCAACAACATGTGACATTACATAACAAAACACAATACATATCATATCATAACATAGCATAGCAAAGCATAATATAACATGACAAAGCATAGCATAACATAGCATAACATGACATAACATAGCATAATACATATCATATCATAACATAGCATAGCAAAGCATAGTATAACATGACAGCATAGCATAACATGACATAAGATATTATAACAAAACATACAAATCATTTTAATCTAGGGTGGTCAGTGCCCTTTTTTTTTTTTACATTCATATTACATTCTATCTGAATTTCGAAGGACTATTGTTCAATCAGGTTATTGTTGTTTTTTTAAAGGGACTCAAAAGAGGTTTTTTTACATGATGAGATTGGAAATATTTTTCCAAAATTTGTATACAATTTGATGTAGGTCTGGTCTAATAACATATCTGCAAATTTTCAGATCATTCCTCCATCTTATATTTCCCTAAATCATTATTTTGATTGTGTAAAATGACTTAAAAATGGGTCAAAGACAGAAAAAGGCAGGGTTGCATTTGTATACCAAATATCATGATGCAGTGATGTTTACCACTGACCATTAATGTCGAAAATTTAACTAAGTCGGTAAACAGGAAGTGGATCAGTGACAGACTTGAAATTGAATCCCACAGTATGGGACCAAGTGTCAATGCTGTATGCCAAATATCAAGAGGCTGTGATAAGTAGTTGCCCAGAAAACTGTTACAAAAATTTCCTACCATTTGTGTCGAAAATTTAACTAAGTTGGTAAACAGGAAGTGGATGAGCGACAGACCTGAAATCGAATCCCACGGTATGGGACCATGTGTCAGTGCTGTATGCCAAATATCAAGAGGCTGTGATAAGAAGTTGCTGAGAAATCTGTTACGAAAATTTCCTACCATTGACCATTAATGTTGAAAATTTAAATAAGTCGATAAAAAGGAAGTGGATGAGCGACAGACCTGAAATCGAATCCCACGGTATGGGACCATGTGTCAGTGCTGTATGCCAAATATAAGGAGGCTGTGATAAGTAGTTGCTCAAAAAACTGTTACGAAAAGTTTTTCCCCGCCTGCCATCCATCAGCCCATCTTCCTCACCCCAAACCCCCCCCCCCCCCGACATTCACCATACTATAACCTAGCTTTGCACCCCAGCCAATAAGAAAAGGAGAAGAAAAAATTTTACCCCTTGCAATTCCAAACACTGTTTTTTCTTTTCATCCAACTCTTTCACGCGTTTGTCGTATGTTTTCATCATATAATCAAACTGTTTCTGACACAGTCTAATCGCTGAAATATTTCATAAAATAAAAGTGGCTGAGATAATAAACTGAGATAATATTACATATTGAAGATGCCCCAATAAATGAAATATATAATAAGTTCAATAAAAACAAACTCTTTTCTTTAGCTTTCGACGATTAAAACCTCAGAAAAAATAGACGTTTATAAAATAACAAATGACAAATGACGCAACGTCCGTTTTTTTGTGTTTTTTTTTTTTTAAAGTGACCTACATCACCTGGGAATTGAACCCGGGTCACCCAATTTACATTCAAATGCTAAACCTATTTAGCAAACCAGACGTCTTTTGATCTTTTTTTTTCAAATTAAGATGCCCTTAAGCAAGTTCATAAGCATGAAAACTTAACCCTTTCACTGCCATAGGGACGGCTTAAGCCGTCCCTGTTTTTTTCGGCGTATTTGCCATATGGACGGCTTTAGCCGTTTCTATAATTATTTCTATAATAATAATAGTAATTATAATAAATTATTAATAATAATAATAAAAAATAATAATAAATATAAAGAAAATTATACCATCGAGAAAAATTATTATTATACTCACAGATTTGGAAACATATATAATTATCATAATACTAATAACAAATAATAATAATTATATTAATTAATAATATAGTAATTTCTTAGAAAACCCTCTGGCAAAAAGGTGATCAATAAAACAATAACCCTCTGGCAGCGAAAGGGTTAATCATAACTACACTAAAGTACATGTATTATATATAAAATATCAAATCATTGCACATATCAGACTTACCATTTTTAAACGCCAAATTCTTAATCATTTTATGACTTTCTTCAAATACAGAGAGAATGGTCTTGGCCGCTGATTCCCATTTCGATGGATCTCCATGTAAAGCCTTATCTAAAAACAAAAAAAAATTAAAAAGCTACAATTTTTCCATATCATTGATCCCAATTCTTAAGGATTGAATATCACTTATCGTCAGCTGATGCTAGGGCATGAAAGATTTTTGACTGCGAGTCATTTTGCCAGATAGAAAAATTATGATGGAAAAACAGAGTGAGCAAATGATCTGAAATTAGGCACACAAGTTATTTGTCTAGACCAAGATCAAATTTAATGGAATATTAATCTTGAAAAATCAATTCCAGTACCATCATGTCAAAATACCCTAAGTGGAGTCCCTTTAACCCTTTACCACATATATACGCGAAACAACGCACTTTCGACCCCCCCCCCTTTTTGGGGCCTCAAATAGTGAAAAAATGTCCTATTTGGGCCCTAAACATAAGTTTTCGTTTGAGAAATGTTGCTAAAAAAATTGAGCACTTTTTCGGCGCCGCCCCCCCCCCCCTATCCAAAAGATACATCAGGGGGTTGCCAGAAGGGGGATGTGCCCCCTTCTGTTTAGGGGGGTTTGAAGGGGGGCGGAGTCCCCCTCATCGCCAACAAAATTTTGGACTTGTGAGAGGCTAAAAATGACCCCAGGTCGACCATAATGTAACGTTTAACCAACGCTGAAAAGCCTTTGACTCTATCTCAATCCCTTGAGAAGTTGCAGCACTTTGAAATAAATTTTGATGGAAAAAATCGAGGCAAAATAGTGATTTTTGGCAATTTTGAGATGTTCCCTCGTTGCCATGGTAACAGGAAATTTAAGACTGAGCATGTCGTTACAAAGGCAATGGTCCAGTCAACATTTGTGCCAAGTTTGATTAGTATTGAAGCATTTTTCAGAGTTTCATAGCAGTTTGAACTTGTAACAGGAGGCTTTTCAGTGAAAACAGCCATTTTTCACAATATGCTCATGGGGGAAAGGGTTAAAGGAGGTCCGAAAGTCTAAGAACATGAAATTTGAAAATCTTACAAAGATTAATTGGGGCAATTAAAACAGATATATATGCATATGTGAATGAAAATAACAGAATATACTCAGAATTAAACTGAAAATCATTTATGAGTGCCATTTAAAAGAGCCCGATCTGGGTTAAAAGCATTTGTAACCTTTTCATTTTCGGTCATATTGGCAAAAAAAAAAAAAAAAAATCATCATGAAAGAAAGTAGTGAGCAAATCATCCAGTTAGTGCAGTAATGGATTAACTCCTAATATAATTAAATATGAGTTATTCAGTTAACCATTTACTGCACTGAGGTGACGAAATAATCTGAAATTTTGCACAAAACCTATATCAAATTCTTAAACAAGAGGGCCATGATGGCCCTAGATCGCTCACCTGACCCATCAAACTCATCCAAACAATTACCTAGACAAGCATTCTGACCAAGTCTCATGACAGGTGAGTCAAAAATGTGACCACTACAGTGTTAACAAGGATTATCCATATTTGAGCAGTGTGACCTAGTTTTTTACCCAGGTGACCCATATTCAAACTTGACCTAGAAATCATCAAAACAAACTTTCAGACAAATTTCCAGGATACTTGGATCAAAACAGTAGCAACTAGAGTGTTAACAAGATTTTTTAATTTTTAGCTTCGGTGACCTAGTTTCACATGAGATTTCGAACTCATCCGAGCAATTACCTAGACAAGCATCCTGACCTAGTTTGATGATAATTGAGTCAAAACTGTGACCACTAGAATGTTAACATGGTTTTTCCACATTTGGGCGGTGTGACCTAGTTTTTCATCCAAGATGACCCATGTTCGAACTTGACTTAGAAATCATCAAATCAAACTTTCAGACCAATTTACAGAATATTTGGATCACAACAGTAGCCACTAGATTGTTCACAAGATTTTTCTATTTTTAGCTCCTGTGACCTAGTTTTTCATCCGAGATGACCAATGTTCGAACTCATCCGAGCTATCACCTAGAAAAACATCCTGACCAAGTTTGATGATGATTGAGGCAAAATTGTGACTTAGAGTGTTAACAAGGTTTTTCTATTTTTAGCTCAGGTGACCTAGTTTTTCATCCAGGATTACCTATGTTCGAACTCATCCAAGCTATCACCTAGATAAGCATCCTGACCAAGTTTGATGATGATTGATGCAAAAATGTGACCGCTAGAGTGTTAACAAGGTTTTTCTACTTTTAGCTCCAGTGCCTGCTTTTTCATCAGAGATGACCCATGTTCGAACTCATCCGAGCTATCACTTAGACAAGCTTCCTGACAAAGTTTGATGATGATTGATGCAAAAATGTGACCGCTAGAGTATTAACAAGGTTTTTCTATTTTTAGCTCCGGTGACCTACTTTTTCATCCGAGATGATCCATGTTCGAACTCATCCAAGCTATCACCTAGGCAAACATCCTGACCAAGTTTGATGATGATTGAGGCAAAATTGTGACCTCTAGAGTGTTAACAAGGTTTTTCTATTTTTAGCTCCGGTGACCTACTTTTTCATCCGAGATGACCCATGTTCGAACTCATCCAAGCTATCACCTAGACAAACATCCTGACCAAGTTTGATGATGATTGAGGCAAAATTGTGACCGCTAGAGTGTTAACAAGGTTTTTCTATTTTTAGCTCTTGTGACCTAGTTTTTCATCCGAGATGACCCATGTTCGAACTCATCTAAGCTATCAACTAGATAAGCATCCTGACCAAGTTTGATGATGATTGAGGCAAAAATGTGACCGCTGGAGTGTTAACAAGGTTTTTCTATTTTTAGCTCCAGTGACCTAGTTTTTCATCCGAGATGACCCATATTCGAACTCATCCGAGCTATCACTTAGACAAGCTTCCTGACAAAGTTTGATGATGATTGAGGCAAAAATGTGACCGCTAGAGTGTTAACAAGGTTTTTCTATTTTTAGCTCCGGTGACCTACTTTTTCATCCGAGATGACCCATGTTCGAACTCATCCGAGCTATCACCTAGACAAGCATCCTGACCAAGTTTGATGATGATTGAGGCAAAAATGTGACCGCTAGAGTGTTAACAAGGTTTTTCTATTTTTAGCTCCGGTGACCTACTTTTTCATCCGAGATGACCCATGTTCGAACACATCCAAGCTATCACCTAGACAAACATCCTGACCAAGTTTGATGATGATTGAGGCAAAATTGTGACCGCTAGAGTGTTAACAAGGTTTTTCTATTTTTAGCTCTTGTGACCTAGTTTTTCATCCGAGATGACCCATGTTCGAACTCATCCGAGCTATCAACTAGATAAGCATCCTGACCAAGTTTGATGATGATTGAGGCAAAAATGCGACCGCTAGAGTGAACGGACGGACGACGGACAATCATCGATCCTAAAAGCTCACCCTGAGCATGCTCAGGTGAGCTAAAAATCTTAAAAAATATTTTCAGCCCTATCATGTCAAAAAATCTCAGTGAATTACCAGTACCATTTAAAGACACATCATGCCTTAGAAATGAATAATTTGTCTGTCTTTAAAAAGGGAAAACATGCATTTTATAATGATTTATAATGTTTAAAATAATGGCTTATAAGCATGTTAGATGCTTATCTCATTTATCTCATTAAGGAAAGCCAAAAATCTGAAATTATTTGCCATAGAACAGTAAAATGTGACTTCCATACAAAATACTAAACTTTGACTTTCAGATGATAGTTTTAGAAAATGCCTTTGTTCACATAAATTTTTTATTATTTTTCATTGTAAAATATGAAATTGAACACAATTATGACAAAATGTCAAAGTTATTTTTAGTTTTATCTTTACACTGACCATTTATACATAATGTAACTTTAATGACACTTTCCACATATTGACATAAACATAATTTTACCATCAAAGACAATAATCCTTTCTTTTCCTAACTTCTTTTCCATCACGGCTTTCCTCCTACAGAAATATAAATGTGACAAACTTAAAGTCTGATACAAGTATCTGTTATTATGGAATATGTGACATCAGGCATTATTACAGCATATACCAATATTTAAGTAAAAGGGGAATATACACTTACCTTTTGATAGATGGCCTATTACCTATTGAAAGATGGCCTACTTCTTACCTATTGATAGATGACCTACTTCTTACCTGTTGATAAATGGCCTACTTCTTACCTTTTGATAGATGACCTACTTCTTACCTATTGATAAATTGCCTACTTCTTACCTATTGATAAATGACCTACTTCTTACCTATTGATTAATGGTCAACTTCTTATCTATTGATAGATGACCTACTTCTTACCTATTGATAAATGACCTACTTCTAACATATTGATAAATGGCCTACTTCTTACCTATTGATAGATGAGCTACTTCTTACCTATTGATAGATGGCCTACTTTTTCCCTATTTATAGATGGCCTACTTCTTACAATATACCTATTGATAAATGGCCTAGTTCTTACCTTTTGAAAGATGGCCTTCTTTTTACCTATAGATAGATGAACTACTTCTTACCTATTGATAAATGGCCTACTTCTTACCTTTTGATAGATGACATACTTCTTACCTATTGATAAATTGCCTACTTCTTACCTATTGATAAATGACCTACTTCTTACCTATTGATTAATGGTCAACTTCTTATCTATTGATAGATGACCTACTTCTTACCTATTGATAAATGACCTACTTCTAACATATTGATAAATGGCCTACTTCTTACCTATTGATAAATGGCCTACTTCTTACCTATTGATAAATGGCCTACTTCTAACCTATTGACAGATGGCCTACTTCTTACCTATTGATAAATGGCCCACTTCTTACCTATTGATAAATGGCCTATTTCTTACCAATTGATAAATGGCCTACTTCTTACCTATTTTTGAGGACCTACTTCTTACCTATTGATAAATGGCCTACTTCTTACCTATTGATAGATGACCTATTTCTTACCTATTAATAAATGGCCTACTTCTTACTTATTGATAAATGACCTACTTCTTACCTATTGATAGATGACCTACTTCTTACCTATTGATAGATGACCTACTTCTTACCTATTGATAGATGACCTACTTCTTACCTATTGGTAGATGACCTACTTCTTACCTAATAGATGACCTACTTCTTACCTATTGGTAGATGACCTACTTCTTACCTATTGATAGATGACCTACTTCTTACCTATTGATAGATGACCTACTTCTTACCTATTGAAAGATGACCTATTTACAAGTATCTGTTAGTATTGAATATGTGACATCAGGCATTATTACCACATATACCAATATTTAAGTAAAAAGGGAATAACTGATTTACCTATACACTTACCTTTTGATAGATGGCCTAATACCTATTGAAAGATGGCCTTCTTCTTACATATTGATAGATGGCCTACTTACCTAATGAAAGATGGCCTACAACTTACCTTTTGATAGATGGGTATCTTTCTAGAATTGAAAATTTTACTTTTAAGTTTAACTTTTTTATTAACTTTTTTTAGTTGGCTTGCATCAACACAGTAAAGTGCATATGGTGACATCCCAGCTTAATTGGTGGAGGAAGACCTCAGGTGCCCCTCCTTGCATTATTTCAAGCACAAACGGGCACCTGAGAAGAACCACCTAAACTATGTTCTACAAGCTAGCAGGATAGCTTTCTCACATGAAAGAAACCAAAGTCCATGGCAGGATTCAAAACCATGGAGATTAAAAAATGGGCATAAGCCAGAAAGGCCTGTATTTTCTGCATCACAACACTCCTGAACAATAAGGAGCTACTGTAATTGATTTTTTTCGAGAAAATGAGGGACTGTCATTAAACATTCACAGTATTCTCTAGACTTAGTACCCAGTGTTACTTTTTCCTCTTTCTTAGACTGAAAAAAACATCTGGCAGGTCATTGCTACAAGAGTAGAAATGGGCTTGTGTCGGCCATTTTTCAGTTATTGAAAACGTTACCTAAGGAAAGACTATTTTAAAGCATTTTAAAACATTTAAAACCTTGTATTTCTGTAGGAAGAGATTATTTCAAAGGATTGAAATAGAAAATTGTAAAATATTTGCTTTATTGTTAAATTTTTTGACCATATGGCATTACATATTGATCCACCCTTGTGCATAAGGTAGTATATGAGAAGTAGTTCAGACAAAATTTTATAAAAAAAATTTAAAAAATTAAAAGGTCATAACTCTGGCAAAAATCTTAGAACTGGAAAAATGTCAATGACATGCACAACTACAATTGGTACAGATCATTCCTGTAAAGTTTTGATGAAATTGCACAAGTAGTTTTGTTGGAGTAGTCCAGACAATTTTTGTGACAGATGTACAGACGGCCATATGGACAACCAGACAATGAAGAAGTGATCCCTATATGTCACTGCTACTCTGTAGCAGGCTACACAAAAATGCATTGTACAGTCATGTACCATTAAATATCTTTTTTGTATTCATTACACTTGCTTTAACTAACAGAAAAGTAATCATTAATCACAATTACTTCGGTTTAAAGTAATCGTAATCAATCGATAACTTATAAATTTGACAGTAATCCTGGAGTAATTGATTACTGATAAATGTAAAATAATCATTAATCATTTTCTATTGTTCATTTTAGCCACATAAAGGAAAAGAGTCACATAAAAGCCTTATGGAATAAATGACATCATTACCTACTGTTCCTGTAATAGTAATTGATTACTTTTTCATCTAATCAGACCCATGTCTGTGTTGCATTACAAACCATAATTATGAAAAGTTTGAATATATACTTACTCCGCTATGATCTTGCTAGTTTCCTCCAGCAATAATTTACCTTTCTTTACCACAAGATCCCCAGCTGTTATAAAATCATCTAACGACTTACTGAAATTTGATATAGAATTCAAGTGAATTGAAAGATTATTATAATTTATATGGTAACATGCTGAAATTTAATTAACTTCATTTAATTGAAATTCTGAAGGAGGAAATAAGACAGAAAACTAATTAAAGCATTTAATAATCAAATAAAAACAATACTTGTATAACCAAATATCAGTTTTCTGAGTTTCTGAGTTAATTACAAATTAATATCTTAGGTTCTTAATATATGAATATGCGTATCAACTGTTGAAGTTTGTTATGACTTCCAAGGCTTAATAGGACCTCACTGGTTTTTTTTGACATGACAGGACTGGAAATATTTTTACGAGATTTGTGTACCATTTGATGTAGGTCTGAAACAATAAATTATGTACAAATTTCCAAATTATTCCCTTACCAAGTTTTTCAAGAATAATCAATTTTATTGTCCACAATGACCCAAAATGGAAATAGATCCAAATTTAAAGTATAATGAATGGTAACATAGAGGATATTGAATGAGTGAAAGTTCAATACTGAATTTATTGCACGAGTTGAATAAAATTATATTATGCGAGCCTCTGGCGAGCATAATATTATTTTATTCAACGAGTTCAATAAATTCAGTATTGAACTTACACGAATTTAATATTCTATTTATCACATACCCAAAATAAAGACGGTTTTAAGTGAAAAAGAGTAATTTTTCATTGACGCGCCTATAGTATAACGCTAACATTTAGCGCGTCTTTATGCTATGTTTGTATAACGCTAATGACGTCACGTCAAAATATATGCACGGCCGTGCAATACCATTTTTACGGAGTCGCAAAATCGGCACGGGTGTGTGATAAAGTGAGTAAAGACAGGGCATTACCTGATCACATTATGTAGCTGAGATGAGGTCCTAATCATTTCCGACATCTCTTCTGGTGTCACCATATCGGCGCACTGCATAAAATAATGTATCATATTGACTTATAAAATCATATTGACTTATAAAATCATATTGACTTATAAAACTAGGAAGAGCACTGCATTTGGTGTTAAGGCTCGTCTGATAAAAATTTGAAGTTATGCCCCTATGTCTACCAACTGCACCTTGTCATGATAAGCAAATATTCCAAGTTTCATGTTGATACCTTTTGAAATGTTTAAAAAATAGACTACATTAAAGATATTGCACAATAACAACAATGACGACGATGACAACCACCACCACGACGCCCCCACAATCATAATGACTTTTTCTTTGAAATGGAAAAGTTAACTAGAACTGTGTCCAAAGGACACGGATGCCCCCACTGACAACATATATATGGTATATAGTGAAAAAATCAACAAAGGGCCATAATTCTGTTAAATTTGGTCGCAGCAAAAATTAATTCCTTTACTACCGTCTACACATTAAGGTTGTTCATCCCTGGAAGTTTAAGTAAAATCTCAAGATTTCGGGATGTACGGACAGACGGACGATCGGACGGAAGTTCTCACAGGACAGTAATTATGTGGCTACTCTATTGTTCTCTCTATTGTTCTTTTTAGCCACACAAAAGAAAATAGCCACATAAAAGCATTATGGAATGAATGACATCAAAGAGAAAGAACAGTTACCTATTGTCCCTCTAGCCACATAATTACTGTCCAGTGAGTGCGGACGGAGACGGACGGACGGACAAGTGCAACACTATATGCTCCCAAATCAAAATTTTATCAAAAAACATACATTATCGCTCATTTTTGAGAAATAAACTTTCGTTATATCGTTATATAATGAATAAATATTTGATTAGTTGTTTACGGTATTTTTTCATAAACCAATTTTTGTTGCAGATGACTATATATAGATTGTTGGTTACACCTGAAATTACATAATTAAAATCTATTTTTAGAACACATCATGTGACTATAAGAATACCCAATTCTTATATGTTATGACATTGATTTCTTTATATTCTGATATTTTACAACACTGACAAAGACTTGTGAGAGTCGAAACATCGGTTATCATCATTAAATATTAAACCTTAAAACTTAATATCCTGTGTTGATTGTTTGTTCCACTTGTACCCTTTTTTCTTAGTAAAACATGCTAAAAAGGTGGTAATGGCATGCTAATATCCATTACAGAGTTTGAACATTCTCAATGATAAGATGCTAACAAGTAATAAAACAAGTAATTATTATAATATTGTAAACATCAAGCTGTTGAAACTTATTATCAAGTAGTTAAATATCCTGCAGTAAGTTGGCCTTTTATATATATTATAAACTCATAAATGAAATGTTATGAAATGTTGAGAAATATCAATTGATGAAATAAAATGTGTATTTTTATTTTCCGTATTTTCACAGTAAAACATCATTTTTCACTGCAGTGAAACATATTTTCAATATTTTTTCTGGTGTCTAGCCAGAATACTTTCTTCTAAATTCAGCCAATACAAAAAATTAAATGAGAAGTTTTAAGAATTGTAAGGTCAAAATAGAGAAAAAGCATATAATAAATAGAAAATTCAAGGGTTTTTTTTTTTATGAATACAGGATTTATTTTCATCTTGTGGTATGAAAATTATCAATTTTGGCTACCGCCACTCATGAATTTTTTTTTTCATACCACTCAATGAAAATAAATTCTGTATTTATAGTATTTATAGAACAAGTCAAATAAAAATTGTGTTCTACAAGCCCTCTGGCAACTTCAATAAATCCAGTAAAATACCTGCACAATTATAATAATCCGTTTTTTGGGAAAACGTAAACAGTAAATGTTCCCAACACCAAGATTTCTAATAACTATTCTACATTTTTGCATATCCAACTTGAGTTTCTAGCGTTTCCGACATTAAAGAAATATATATTTTTGTTATATCCCTCTCCCACACCCCTATACCTAGTTCAGAACCTTGTTACCACCGTAAACAGCTGCTATTGACCTAGATATTCCGGTTTGTACCGACAGCCAGTGTTGTAATATTCTTATAATACGTACCATGTTAACATTTTCCTCAAACCAAATCATTACTTCTGTCAAATACTGCTTCCTAAGAACGGCCTTCTCCTCAAACGCTTCAATACGATCTATCGCTTTATTCCTTTCCTCTATCTAAATATAGAAAATTATCACTTAGTACTGATAATTATCATCTAAATAAAGACGATTATCATTTTAGACATATAAAAATAATGATGATTTTCTATATTTAGATGATAATTATCTGTACTTAATGATGATTTTCTATATTAAGGTGAAAATTATCAGTATTTAGTGATAATTTTTTCTATATTTAGATAGAAAATCATCATTAAGTACAGATAATTATTATCTAAATATAGAAAATTATCATTTAGTACTGATAATTATCATCTTAATATAGAAAATTATCACTTAGTACTGCTAATTATCATCTAAATATAGAAAAGTATCATTTAGTACTGATAATTTCATCTAAATATAGAAAATTATCACTTAGAACTGATAAGTATCATCTAAATATAGAAAATTATCACTTAGTACTGATAATTATCATTTAAATAAAGAAAATTATCACTTAGTACTGATAATTATCATCTAAATATAGAAAATTATCATGTTAAACATCAAAAAAATATAAATGTAAATATAGAAAATTATTATTTGATTTGTGTAAAATTCATTTACGTATAAAAGTTATCCTTCAAAATGGATAACAATTAATACAGATAATTATTATCTTAATATAGCAAATAATCATTATATGTGTTAATACTCATAAAAAATTTGAGTATTACCTTTTAATACAGATAACAATAAAAATTATAGAAAATTATCATTTAATTCAGATAATAATAATCTTAATATTGAAAATCATCATTTAATACAGATAATAATAATCTTAATATTGAAAATTATCATTTAATACAGATAATAATAATCTTAATATTGAAAATTATCATTTAAATATAGCATATTATCATTTAATATAGATAACAATATTTCTTTATTATATAGAAAATTATCATTTAAGACAACAAAAACAAAAATAATCTAAAAATAGAAAGTAATGCTTTTATACAGATAACAATTATTTGCACATAGAAAATTATCATTTGATACAAATTATAGAAAAAAAATTTCATTTATTTTAAAGGGAGACACAGGCAAAATTTTCATTTCTTAGTTTTGAATATTTCATTAATTATGCTGTAAATGCCCTCAAAATGAATATATTAGACAGTAAAAGGAACAGAACTTTTCTCCATATAAAGAATAAAATGGTGGTTTCCTAACTTGACCCGCGTGGGTCAGGTTAGAGCGCTAGGATTTCACAATAGTTACCACAGTGAACTCTGGAAACAATAAAAAAAACATGTCAAATGAATGACTTAGACTTGTTTCAATCATACAATATCCACACTGTCTGTTATTGTAACTTCAAGGGTTTGTTCAAGTCACCTGACTTATTTTCAAACTATTCGGTGATTCTATTGGCGTCTAAATTTTGTTCAACATATATAGATATATTTACGCTTTAAACCCAAAATATATAGAATTTAAACAGAAATTCATGCTGAAACTTTAATAAATGTCATTCTAGCGTGATTTGAGTGCATTAGATCATTTTAATATTTTTGTCATTATTTTGCCTGAATATCCCTTTAATCATTTACATATAGCATAATATCATTAAAGGGAAAGACAAGGTTAGAATAAAATATTGATTTCAGAAAAAGAATACTATAAATAATAAATCTGCAAATTTTCTGCCGCCAAATAATAATATTAAACGAATGATAACAAAATTTAAATCGCTAAATCACCGATTTCTACAAATCAGTAAGCGCGGCCATGTTTGTGTATTGGCCGTATAAAAACAGGTGCGCGTGATGTCATTTCCCCACATCTTTAGATTTATGATAAATCTAGTTGAATCGTAGGGAAATATTAATTATTATTGACCAGACAATTTAATTTTCACAGGAGATATAGAGGAGATTTTTTTATGGTTCAAAATACGTAACAATATCCAAAAAAAATGAATAGATAAAGAAACAAAAAAAATCAACGTCTACCGGTCGCACCACTTCAGGCCAGTGATGCCCGTTACTCCAAACAATGCTATGTTCATTAAAGTCTCAATATTTCACAGATTTAATAAATACACATGTTATTATTTAACAAAGTTTCACAATCAAATAATGCAATTAAATAAACAAACGCACCAACGAATAATTGGCTGTTAATTATTGAACGGCGATAATTATCATTATTATAAAAATCCTACTAAAACGTGTTCTTAATAGTACATGTAATTAAATTTTTGCAGTTTGATTCTGACTTTCAAATTTAAAGGTGTGAACATATGTTATAATTGATGTACACATTTCAAAAATATAAGCAACTCTTTTGAAAAGTAAATTGTTAACATGTCTGTCAACGTATGATGCTGCGCATCGTAATCGTAGCCTAATATGAACTGCAGGCAAAACATTTTTATTGGCTGCTCAAAAATCTAATTTGCATAATTTATTCACACAATTGCTGGTTCTTACTACTTATGTCTAATACTACTGTGAATTGTCCATTTTAACTGTTCCTAATTTGCACCAAATGTTCCTGTCACACTGTGTACTAGCGATTTTTATTGCTCCTTGTATGCCTCTGTGCCGACAGACCTTTTTTATCATGCACAATGTTGCCCTGATTGGTTAATCACCCTTGTCAAATATTCTAATGACGAAATAGACATCTATTTTTTTACGCTTCATCGGTGAACTGAATGACCTTTGGGGAAATTAAGTTCCACACCTGTCGAATTATACTGTAAATGACAGCATGTCATGAAATAGCAACACATTTTTTTCAGTTACCAATAATCATTTTAAATATTAAGTAGATTTATGATTTTTTGTTTTATTGGATTAAATTTACGGTAGTAGAAATGCGTATCTGTGTGGGAAAGGAATTGGGTAAGTAGATAACGTGGAAAAAAGCTATAGGGAACTGGATAAACCCGAGAATATGCGTAATTACAGGGGAATGGGCAACCTTTTGCTGTTGGTACCAGTTTTGACTGGGTGCCTAAATAACCTAACGGGCAGTTTTGTTTTCATACGATATTAGTCTGGCTGCCGATTTTCCTGCGCCATTCTCATTGTTAGCGTCAATTGACCTTTTCGAAAACCTAGCTAAACTCTGTTTTCCGGTACCTTACGGATTTAGCTCTGGGGAATTACACATAATGATGTACATATCACTCTAACATGATATTTCTGTTTTTCTATCATTATTTTACGGTATAAGGTGGAAAAACTTGATGTATTTTAAAATGATCAATGTTCCTTTAATATCTATTGCAAATTTTTCAAAAAATAATTTGTTTATAACGAAAATCAATAAAATTTGAACAGACGTAGTGGAATCTTCCGTAATAAATAAGGTTATTTTCTGCGTAAACTTGTGTATTTACTTTATTTTTGTATGGAATTATTCATACAATGATATTTAATTATTTTCTTATAAAGAAATAATTGTTTTATTTCAATTTAATTTAAAAAAAGGCCGAAAACATCGAGTTCACTTACATTCCATTAGATGAATTCCCCAGAGCTATGTACAGAAGGTACCGGAAAATCGCGTCCTCAGCAGATCTCTGCATATTGGATTTAGTTGATATTTTACGCTGAAAAAAAGATACATGACCGGCGATGTACCCTATTCGGACAGCTTGTCTAGCGAAAATTAAGTACAAAATAAAAGGATATATCGTCAATTTGAAGAAGTTTCTCATAGTACCCAAATTAAAAAATTAATGGTTTATCTTTGAAAATTAAGCAGTTATTGCTTAAATCATGTGGTGGGATCATCATCAAGCTTGAAAATCGGACAAATGATAATTAATGTCGCGGCGTCTTCAATTAATTAATTTAAGCAATTCAGTTCCCTATGATGTTTTCATAAATAATATATAATGTACGCAATAAGATTAATAAGTTCTTCATCAAGATATATTTCAGTTGTACCAGCGTGTACACCTATACCGGAAGTGGGTGTAACACGTCACAATCTCGGTCTCGTCTGTCTCGCGAGAATGACAGAACGCCAAAATGGCGGCGCCCATGAACTTATTTCTCAAGTAAAAAATAGTGTCTTAAAACACGAATTTCTCACGTATAGGGTTGATGTCAACAGAAAAACTGTCATGGTACCTCTTTTTAAATGATGAATATTTATATTAGACAGACATCAATCCATCCATTCCTATTCCTTTAAATAAAGATACATGTAATGTAAATACAGAAAATTATTATCATTTAATTAATATAAAAAGCAATATTATCCTATGCAAACACATAACATACTTTTTAATTTTAAGATTTACATTTTTGTTGCATTTTTGTGTGTTTTTTATGCATGTTGATATATGTGACAAAATGATATGTGTTTTTTATGTATATTTCCCTGATTAAATCAATACGACTCAATAGTACATGTGTAAAATATTACAATTAATCATTGCAACTGAAGCCAAATTGATTTTGTTATCAATATGCTAAAATTATACAAAATTAGTACATGTATAGAGTTTGGTCACATAAAATTCTGATGGTTATCTTTAAACATTTGAAGATTATTTAAACACTCTCAAATTTGCTTCCTAAAACAAACCAGTGCCATAAATATGCGGCCATTAGTCGACCTCGCCCATAAGTCAATCTCAACCATAAGTCGACCTCACCCATAAGTCGAGGGGTATATAATGACTTTAAAAAAACCTGTCTCTGCAGTTAAATCATATAAAGAAACATGGATGAGATCCCAGTAGGGCTTGAACTCTCAATTCCTGGGTTAAGAAGAAGACACAATAACATTTACATACTATTTTATATTTTTTATGAGGCCATAAGTCTGCCTCACCCATAAGTCGAGGGGTATATTATAGTCAAATGTCATATGAAGAAGCGGGTGTGATCCCTGTAGGACTCAAACCTGTCATTCCTGGGTTTATAAGAAGACACACTAACCACTAGGCTACCAATTACATACTATTTTCTCTCCAGAGTCAGCGCTGACCTTTGCATTCAGGAAAATATGATTTGTAGTTTTGTCTTACTTAATCACCTACATTTGTTTTTCAATTTTGAAACACTTTTCCAAAACAAACAAACTTGTTTATACAGTAGGAAATTCATACAAAACATGTTTACTTTGAATGCTTTATTACCAACAAAATTAACATCAGCTTCTGCCCATGTGGTCATTGTCACTTCCTACTCAGAGATGGTATAGCTTTATGGAACTGATAGAAAAATAGACACAGTTGCTAAACTGTTCTTTGTCAATAGAATATCTCAGCTGTTGATAAGCATTTTTTGCCTCGAGTGGATAAAAAATTTTTAGCCATTTTTTGCTGTGTGTGGGTAAGAAATTTTTAATCAGTTTTTGATTTGCATGGGTAATAATATTTTAGTCATTTTTTGCTTTGCATGGGTAACTTATTTTTTTACAGGTGAAAGTTTCAAATTTGTTTACCTTCTTTTTCCGCTCTGAATGGGAATCAAATCTTTTAATCTCAGGCAATCTTAACGGATCATCTTCCTCTTCACTGCCGTCATCCATACCGTAATCTTCAAGCGTCTAAACAACATGGATCAAACAATTAGCCAAAATATATTTAATTACCCGAAAGTTTCATTAACTTTAAGGGATGATAACAAAATGGATCAAACAAAATAATCACAGTGATCAGTCTTGTTTTGTTGGATTTTTTTAGTCGCACTAACACTGTAATGGTCATACAGTTACTGCCACTTTCCAGCTTTACTGGTAAAATAAGTTAGCATATTATTAGCTCAAGCATGCATCTAAGTAGAAACCACCAACCAACCTTCTGTAAGCTTACTGCTAGATGGATAGCTTCCTCACATGCAATTAAGTCACTGGTGGGATTAAAACCCACAATGGTGACAGGAAGTGATTTCAAATTGGCGGCCTTTATATCTCTCCTGCTGAAACTTTACCCACTTTATTATAGCATTTTGTTTGTTTGTTTGTTTCATTTTACGCCTTTTTCTAACAGTATTTCAGTCATATAGGCGGGTAGTTTCCTAACCATCGTTCCTGGAGAGTTACACCAGTACCAGACTACCTCCTCCGCGCTAAACTACCAAAGCATCCCGGGGATCGAACCCACGCCAGAGAGGTAACTGGATTAGAAGTCATCGACTCTAACCCCTCGACCACGAAGGTGGTCTTAATTATAGCATAATTATACAATATGCTATCATTTTGTTGCTAAATTAAACAGGAGAAATTTATTACACTTGAAGTGATAAAGCCTTGCAACCATGGAGGTGGTTTGACAATGAAAAGGTTAGAGGTTATAATTAAAATAAACATCATAGCTTCACACATGGATATTTCCAAGTATCAAAAATCTAAAATTCCAGACATTTCTCAAGAGGAATATTAGCGAATTGTGCAAGGGTATAATATAATGACAGGTTGGTTAATATTAACGCTAGAGGGAATGTAAGCGATTATCATGAAATCTGAATATAAATTTCCATGTCGCTAACTTAATCATTTACACAGTATACTCCTGTACGGATCAGCAATATTATCACCTTAATAAACAAGTGATAGAAATGATCACAAAGCCAGGATTTCTGTTAATAATAATAAGTAGAAACCCACAGAGAAATACTGGAGTTATTGTGCCAAAAAGATAAAAAGATCTCTATTTCTTACATATAAAAATAAACAAAAACAAAGAGTTGTACATGTAATTTTGCCAGATAGGAGCAAATCACAAAACCCGCATTATATCTTCAAAGACACTTGGTTACAATACTTCTATGAAAGTTTGGTTAAAATCCTGACAGAAATGTAAGACTTGCGCTCAATACAAATTGTTAACGCCCACCCATCAACATTACCTTATCTAAAATATAGTAGATAAAGAATCCCTGAAGAACGCCCAAATTGACAAAAATGTAAATGTTGCAGGCTAAGTTTGATTGAGCCTGTTCATGGATGGTACTGGAAAATGCTAGTTACCGTCCACGCCCCCTAGCACCAGCTTAAGCATGTTCATGGTGTAATTTTGAATTTAAAAACATCCGCAGATGACCAATTTCCTTTAATGCTTTAAATCATAAAAAAATGAAATTCTTAAAAATATCAATTAGTGAAATTGAAAAAATGAAAAATTCTGCAAAGGATAACAAAGAAATATAATCAATTTTTTGTGCCATTCTTAGATTGACTTGAGTAATAAGCGTTTATTTTTGGGTCATGTTTTACAATAAAATTTATTATTCTGGAAAGAACTGGATTAGGGAATGAGCTAAAAATTTGCACACAAGTTATTGGTCCTGACCTACATCAAAAATAGTACAAAAATAATAAATAATATTTTCTGTCCCTCCTTAGCGGAGTCCCTTTAGCAGATTTTTACCATTTTTTCCCCCCTCATATCCTTTTTAGAATGGAAATAGCAGGGCATAAAAAAATAATGCTTACACATCATATATTGACAGATATGATGTCGAAAAACCAAACGATGTCAGCAAAGTTACTTCTACGCTCAATGTTGTTCAACATATTTTAATTATATTCTCATTTTTATTAGCATGTAAGAATTGAAATAGATATTAATTTTTCATGCATTGTAGTATGATAATGCACAGTTTATCGATATTAAAATGCTTTTAGGCCTATGGGCTTTCATGATTATATTCCTACGCATTTTACACCAAACGGAGCGTTATTTTACAACAACAACACAATTAAAATTGCTATTCTTTTCCTTAACAACCCATTCATATTTGATATTTATTTTAAGATATTATGGTCATTTTTGTTTATTACCTTGCGTACACGTTTATTTATGACCTCAAGCTTGGACTGGATACGTTCCTTATGTCGTCTATTCTGCTGGTCGTCAATTGCAGACAGAACTTCCAATGACTCAAAATCACCTTTGACCTTGTTTCTAAATTTTTAACGTAAACAAATATATCATAAAACCAGTCTGTTTTGTTTTTTTTTTTTTGGGGGGGGGGGGGGGTTTACGTCACATCGCCACAGTATAGGTCATATTGCGACGTTCCAGCTTTACTGGTGGAGGAAGACCTCAGGTGCCCTTCCGTGCATTATTTCAGGCATGAACGGGCACCTGAGTAGAACCACCGACGTTCCGCAATCTAGCTGGATAGCTTCCTCACATGAAAGAACCCACAGCGGTGAGGGGCAAGTGGTTTGAAGTCAGCGACCTTAACCACTCGGCGTGAATTAAATATGTCAAGACTGGTGATGACGATGATTTGTAAACCCAGTTTTATACTATAATCATGTTATATTTCTATAGATGAAATAAGCATGCAAAATTAAAACTTTTACTTTTAATTTAAAAAACAAAACAAAAAAAACAAGCATCCTTTGAAACAGGTATAAATTCATTTAATTTGAAGGATTTGTTACTTTATGAAATAAATACCGAAACATGGCTCAATATATTTTGAGATAACTGATATTCAAAAATATTTAATATTACAAATATATTACGAATATAGAAAAAAGAAACATATTATTTTCCAATTTCATTGTTTTTACAAGGCTATGAGCAAGCGCAATGCGACATGTCATCTAAACTGGCATGCTTTATTAGCATATAACAGCTTAGTAGCCTTAATGGGAATGCGGAGGTATTACACCATTATGGCAAATTTTCAATAATTTGACATTCTATATAATAATTTGACCTTGAAGGTCAAGGTTATTTTGAAGTAAATGCTTAAATTTCTCAACATGACTGTTCTTTATTCAAGTATATATCAAATCTGCCCGTTGATAATTGATAATAAAATTATGGCCAATTTTAACAAAATTCAATAATTTTACCATAAAGGTCAGTCATATAAAGGTCAAGGTCAACTTGAATTTGGTCTACTTAAGGCATTTTCAAAAGAGTTGTTATGTCCTAGTTTGAATAAAATACAACCATTGGGTTGTTATGTCTAAGTATGAATAAAATACATTCATTTATAACAAATTACATGTAACAGCCAATTATACACGCCCGGCAAACTGTCGCTCCACTTCAAAATTGTGGTGTACGGTAAAACGAGCGAACGGCATTTCCGAGATAGAGCGGAAGGCCGATTTAAACGCCTAATTGTAAGTATTGTTTATGTTTTTGTCTTGTTATTCATTTAAGTTGTATTTTTTCGAAAAACGGAAAATGTAGTTCCGTGTAGGATTGATTTAGGCTTCCAATGATCTAAGCTGTTACAAAAAGAAAATTATATTAAGCCCGGGACAACTTTTCTCCCTGACGAAGCGAACGACGATTTGTAGAATATTGAACTTCCCAACCATAGAAATGCCATACCCTTCAGATTTCTTGAAAAAGTGTATTAGTACATTATCAACCCGTAATAAGAACTTGTCCTTCGTGCAAAATAAATTACTCCTGAAGGATTTCTTAAATTTGTAAATCGATATTTTTTCGAAAGTAGTGGAGCGAAAGGGCAAGAGATGGAGCAAAAGGTTCGATGTTGAGCGCAAGGCGATATTATTTTGACGTATTAGGAGGAGCGTAGTCTATGATTTTTTATATATAAAAGCTATAGAAGTTAAAATAGACATGATCAAGTGTTAAGACCGAAATATATATACCTTTTAAAGACAACTAATAAAGTGTGATATTCTTTCAACGACTATAGCGTAATAAATATAATCGCGAAGGTGTCACCTATGGCTGCCGTGTAGATTCCATTATTTATGTTCGAAATTTGGATGAGGCCCGACCATTGAATCATACACATGTATGCATAATACAGGATGCCACTTTTCACACGGTTATGTACATTTAAAAACGTGTGTCCGTGCAAATTCGACAAAATCGAAAATTTTCAGTTCTACCGCGAACAAATGTTTCCGAACAGGTACGTGTAACGCGATTGTTCACGCCAAAATGTTATGTTTTTCGAAAAGTTAGATATTCAAGGTGCAGAACAGAAACAAAATTATGCAATGCATGGAACACATTAAATTAAATGGATCACTACTACCGAGTTCAGTTCACAATGACTTTCTGTCATTAATAGCTCTAACATAACTGTTCAGAGCAAACACAAATAAGCCACGTTTTCATGAATTTCATTGTTGTTTAGTTTTTTATTTTCCTCTCAAAGTGTAAATAGAAATGTTTACTTTTATAATCAAACACTGCAGTACAAATCTTGGTTTAAGAAAAAAATAAGTTAAAATAAATATCTAAGATTTTGTTTGTTTATCTATGAACAAAACGAACGTAATAAAAAAAGGCAGAGCTCAGTCGGTGTACGGACTAAAATTATCAATAATATAATAGACCTAGTTATCGTAGAAATTTCTATTTACACGTTGAGAGGAAAATAAAAAACTAAACAACAATGCTAAATAAGGGAGGAAGTATCTAGAAACATAACTGAAACACGTGTTATATCCTTATAACGACTGACACCTTGTCAACCATTTTCATAGCGATTCCTCACCTTACAAATTCATGAAAACGTGGCTTATTTGTGTTTGCTCTGAACAGGTACGTTAGAGCTATTAATGACAGAAAGTCATTGTGAACTGAACTCGGTAGTAGTGATCCATTTAATTTAATGTGTTCCATGCATTGCATAATTTTGTTTATGTTCTGCACCTTGAATATCTATTTTTTCGAAAAACATAACATTTTGGCGTGAACAATCGCGTTACACTGACCTGCTCGGAAACATTTGTTCGCGGTAGAACTGAAAATATTCGATTTTGTCGAATTTGCACGGACACACGTTTTTAAATGTAAATAACCGTGTGAAAAATCATGATTGATCTCGAATAAGTGGCATCCTGTATTATGCCATGCATACATGTGTATGATTCAATGGTCGGGCCTCATCCAAATTTCGAACATAAATAATGGAATCTACACGGCAGCCATAGGTGACACCTTCGCGATTATATTTATTACGCTATAGTCGTTGAAAGAATATCACACTTTATTAGTTGTCTTTAAAAGGTATATATATTTCGGTCTTTACACTTGATCATGTCTATTTTAACTTCTATAGCTTTTATATATAAAAAATCATAGACTACGCTCCTCCTAATACGTCAAAATAATATCGCCTTGCGCTCAACATCGAACCTTTTGCTCCATCTCTTGCCCTTTCGCTCCACGACTTTCGAAAAATATCGATTTACAAATTTAAGAAATCCTTCAGGAGTAATTTATTTTGCACGAAGGACAAGTTCTTATTACGGGTTGATAATTTACTAATACACTTTTTCAAGAAATCCGAAGGGTATGGCATTTCTATGGTTGGGAAGTTCAATATTCTACAAATCATCGTTCGCTTCGTCAGGGAGAAAAGTTGTCCCGGGCTTAATATAATTTTCTTTTTGTAACAGCTTAGATCATTGGAAGCCTAAATCAATCCTACACGGAACTACATTTTCCGTTTTTCGAAAAAATACAACTTAAATGAATAACAAGACAAAAACATAAACAATACTTACAATTAGGCGTTTAAATCGACCTTCCAATCTATCTCGGAAATGCCGTTCGCTCGTTTTACCGTACACCACAATTTTGAAGTGGAGCGACAGTTTGCCGGGCGTGTTATAGCCAATTTCAGTAAATATTCAAAATTATCCTAGGTCAAGGTCAAATTCCTTAAAAAATGCAAAAGTACATTTGATGGCAATAATTCCTATCAATTTTCATTTAAATTAGTTCAGCAGTTTTGGAGAGAGGGGCACACAGACTAATAGCCAACTTAAAACCACTATACCCAGCTAAAAGCTTTCATTTATTATTGTGGGGGAGGGGGGGGGAGTGGGGGTATGACTGAATGAGTCATTATAAACCAGATTGGCAGAAATTTTTAGCTTACTTTCCTAACAACCCAACAGTGGGCATGTTTGTTTTCGCTATATCTAGGGGTGAATATTTCTGTTTATTCTGGGCTCCGCCCCCTTTATTCTTTATTATCTGACTCTCCTCTGCCCCATCAAGTTTAAGTTGGTCTTTAAAGTCAACAAATGGCCATGTTTTACTCAAATCAGCTGAAATTGAAAGTGAATATAATTTCTTTAAAGCAGCTATCCTACAAACAATGGTTTGACTTTTTTTAAATAACTAACAATGGTTTGACTCTTTTTTTAAATAACTATCATAAAAAAGTAATATTAAGCTGAAGGTTAAAAAATCAACATGAAACTAGATGATAAATACACATCTTGCTCCAAGAAATGCCAGCTGATTGAAAATTTGGCACTTTTCACAAGTGACAGTATCATACATGTGAACTCTCCCACTTTTAGTGGGAGACTCCCACTTTCTGCAGCCATATTTTCAAAGATTTTTCTTAAAATAAGGGGTATTTTCTCAAATTAAAGAAATCTCCCTATTTTTGATGACAGAACTTCCTTCTTTGTTTATTGCAAATTCTAAAATCTCCCTCTTTTTGAAGAAAAATCTCCCACTTGATCATCAAAAAAATATCACATAATTATATGCATTATGCCCATCCAAGTGTAAATGGTTAGTGTCAAGTAATAGTCAAAACAACTACAAAGAAATACAAGAAATTCTTCTTACAGTAAACAAACAATATCAAAGATTTATTACCCTTGCTTTATTTTACTACCCCTACCTGTTGCTTTCTTAGCGGCATCATTCTTTTGGTCTTTAATCTTTGACGAAACTTTCTTCCATCTCGCACTCCTCTCACCATCTTTGGTACGCTTTTTCTTTGATTTTGGTTTCCCACCAGAATCTTTTGCTGAACCTTTTTCTTCGTTAACAGCTTGCTCTGCGTTATCATCGTCTTTAGATTGGACATTCTTTTTCTTCGTGGCCTTGTTTGACTTTTGTTTTGCTTTGGTATTCTTGCCCTGTTCTTCAAAATGGACCTTCTTTTTTGAATCTGCTTTATCTACGTCATCTGACACTTAAAAGTAAAACATAGTAGGTTAATTTAAAATGTACATGATAAATGTCACGGTTCAGAACTGTTCACTATTTAGGGGAGAAGATGTGTAAGCTGCCAGATAGCTCTATCGTAAGAGCCACAGAAAAGTATTCTGAGGGTCCCGGGTTCGAGTCCGGGTTTGGCTGCACATATACCTCATCCTGTGACATTTGGCATCCAACGCGGGACCGTGACTAGATATATCTAAAAGTTTAATTGGCATTGCTCTGTAACCCTGAGTAAAACCGGGATGAATTTCAATATAGCAAGGAACTATGTCATCGTTCAGAACTGTTCACTAGTTAGGGGAGATGATGTGAAAGTGGCCGGATAGCTTAGTTGGTAGAGCCGCAGAATGGTATTCCATGGTCCTGGGATCAAGTCCCAATTCGACTGCACATTTTTCTCACCCTGTGACATAAAATACTAAATTTATCCTGTTCATTGCAAAGAGAGAAGCATATGAGCCGTGCCATGACAAAACCAACATAATGGGTTTGCGACCAGCATGGATCCAGACCAGACTTCGCATCCGCGCAGTCTGATCAGGATCCATGCTGTTTGCTGTCAGTTTCTCCACTTGTAATAGAGTTGGTAAGCGAACAGCATGGATTCTGATCAGACTGCGCGGATGTGAAACAAGTTCTTGCAACTTATATTAATCTCTTTTGAGTCCGCTTCCTGGAACCTGGATCCAATATATACATTTTTATTGGTCAAAAAGTCATTCCCCGTAGTTAAGTACTTAAAAATTGAATTAAACTTAAAAACAAAGGATAATTGTCAAATCAAAAGAATAAAGGTGGAAAATGAAATTTGCCGACCAAATAACTGTTACAATAAGGAAACCCCTTGATAACTCTAAAATAAAACTATAATGCATTAATAAGCATGTGCGATGTGACCTATTTTCTGTTAATACTGGATTGATAACTGATTGGATTATCTTGACTGATCAAGGTCAATTATCACTCAAATACAAAGGTGACAAATAAGGGACTTACCCATTTAAAGGACACTTATTGAATATTATATTGTTTATGTTAAAATATTACTAAAGAAAAATTAGCAAACTTGTAGCAACAATTTTGAATTTAATTAATTAGTATACATAATCTATCTAAACTTTTACTGCTTTCAAAAGCGCGTTTCATAAATTTGTTTAAACTTAAATTTAAAATAGATCGGAACATATAATTAAAACCCTTAATACCTTCTGCTGTCATTTTAAACACTCTCGCAATTTTTAAAACACTCTCACTGCCATCTAAAACGCGCCATATTCATTTTCAGTTTCACTTTCGCATTACGTACCACGCTCGCAACAACAATACGTGACCTTATGACCTTTGACGGCGAGTCTATTTATAGATTTATCAGACCCGACTTTGAAATGACGCTGTTCTTTCTATTCAACATATAAAATAACGTTGTTGTAGTGAAAATATGAATTCCACTTATAAAGGCTTAATAATCTTACGTAATTCAACAGTATCTGTACATAAAGTCGGTTCTTAACATCCCTATCAAATAATAGAACATTCCGTCCATTTTTGGTTTCAATCAATACAAATAGTCCGTGACGTCAGAAATATTTTGCTATATAGTTAGCGAAGGAATATAAAAATTAATTAAATAATCTATTCGACACGTTACCTTTCCTAAACATCACAAATATTTTCGATTAAATAAAATAAGTGGTAATGTATTTCATCAATTCAATCGTCGTGGCGTTTAATTTAGGCAGCTTTCGTTTAAACATACGGACTATTTCCTGACGTGTTGGAACAAAGAGATTAGTCACTCGCGACGCATATTGCTGTGTCGGCTCTTTGAAGTGCACAATTACCGCGACTTATGCCCATTAATTCGGCTTAGTACAAAAGGAGTGTGTACAGAGGTAATCAGGGTTACTCGGTGTAATCATCTGTCAAGTTTCTGCTGTCGTGCACCACTGAAATTAGGTCAAAGGTAAGTGGAACAACTCAATTTAACGTTAATTGTGTATCTCGAGCCATGTAATCGTTTATTTACCACTGTTCTAGTCGCCGCCATAGGCTTCAGTAAGTTGTTGTATTCGATAGTTAAGACATGTGTTATGATTTGTTTACTTGAATAAATACACAACACGTGGGTCGTGATCGTAAATATTGGTACACATGTGTATTCTTACGTTTTGAAACCCTTGTATAGAACTTTGTAATATAGAAAGACTGTGTTTAACTGTTAAAATATGCATGCATTTCTGTGTGTGTCATGTATAATGTAGAGCTGTGTTTAAACCACACCTACATGTACAACATGGCATATAGAAATAATTTCAGTAATTCATAGGACCTGCAATTGGCTGCAAATACAACTTGTGTAGTATAGGAAGTGGCGATAAATTTTACATAATGAAATGTTTCGTCTTGTTAATAAATAATTATTCAAAATCTTTAAATTGAACAGGACAAACCACTACTTTCATGTAAACATTACAACATACCCTTGAAAAATTTATCTTTAATCAAAGTTATTCAAGTGGATCACAAAATTATTTCGAGTTGTTTTAAGTAAGAGAATTAATACTTATAAATGAAACATAATTTTTGCACACACAATATTAACTGTATTTGATACAGACGTTTTATCAAACTGAAATCAAACAATTTTAATGAAATTAACAAGAAGATATAGAAACATTAAATTGTCAACCAGGATATAAAATTTGGTTCAGGTGGTTCATGATCACCATTTTGTACTCTCCTTTTCTTCAATTCTTGGCCAATTTGATTACAGCGATAAACGACAAAAAGCCTTTATATGAGTTGCAATGATTGAATGAATTATTTATTATTACCCGAAGACCGTCTTATTAACAAAAATATTCCTTATGAATTTTATAACAGTGGAAATTGATTAAATGTTTATATGTAAAAAGAGTTGGAAAGAGATAGGCATTAAACTGTAGTATAGAAAGATAATTAATGGTATTGTATCACAATTTAACATTGGATTGTTTTGGACTGGTGCTTGTCAGATAAATATATTGACTGTTTCATCAAAATTGTGTGGTTGACTGTTATTGTTACCAAAGGAACTAGTCTGAACTAAATAATAAGATCATCTAAATCAAAATATGTATTAATTTGCAAATAGTTTGGCTATTTCCTGGAATAGATCCCAGGGTCTAAATCAGGAGTATAAGATCCCAGGGTCTAAAGCAGATGTATATATAAGCATTCATTAGGGACCTACTTCTATCGAAATACCTTGCATTATGTGTAATTAGTCAAATTCACAGACATTTGGGGAATCAGAGCCAGTCCCTACCTTGATCTGTCCATGTCAACCCTCCACATTAAAAAAACTTTTAATATTTGAAACTCAAGGGCATAGATGTTTATCATCAAACTTGTATTAAAACCATTTCAAGACTGGGTTACCATCAAGTCTCGATAAAGTAAAGATTGCAGGCACTGAGACACATTCTTGTCCAACAAATAAAAGAAAAGTTCCCGGCTTTAATCTTTGTTTGCGCTGTTACTTTGCTTTCTGAGCTGGGATGCACACTAATGTGACTTCATAAACTGTCTGTGTCCCGGCTTGATAAACACTCCATACAGTGCCAGAAATTCATCTTGGGTTTTCTTTACAGAAAATTTTCTCAGGGCCGGGTCTTGGTGTCACCCCACCCCACATAACAATTTCGTCGTTCTACTAATAGTATTTTTACTATTACTTGAATTTATGTGTAGGCCACATTTTTAGTGAGATCTGGGACATGCCCCCTATTTTTTTTTGCATGTCAATTTTTTGGGAATATTTAGGCCAATGATAGGCGGACAAGTAAATAATTTGTCATGTTTCTGGAAAAATTATTGGCAGCGGCCTACACAGCCTATAGGAAGCAACATTCCTGAATGAGTTTGATTCTGTTCTGTGCTAGCGTACTGAGAGATGTCGCATTTTTATTTAATCTTCAATATAAACAGACTCAAAGACAGTCATTCAGTGATTTTCATATAATATTTGTATTTTCATTGCTTCCAAGAGATTCTCCCCCATTCCAGATATTGTTTGTTATTTGATATTAGTAAATAAAATTTATTTATTCTAGTGTGGCCTATAGATTACCTATATAGAAATTACCTGTATAGAAATAAATGAACAAATGATGATTATAATGCTAGCTATCAATAAAATATTAGATGTTTTAGAACATAATACAATAAAAGCCAATCAATCCATTACTTTTGTCAATTATTTTATTCCAGGAGCCCCATATTTATTGTAGATATTGATTGGTTTGGTTAAGAAATAAACTCCCTATTTATTGAAGATATTGATGGGTAACGTAGGTTAAGAAATAAACCCTTTTTTTATTGTAGATATTGAGAAATAAATACCTTATTTATTATAGATATTGATGGGTTAAGTTAAGAAATAAACCACTTATTTATCGCAGATCGTGATTGGTTAAGTTAAGAAATAAACCCCTTACTTATTGTAGGTATTGATTGGTTAGGTTAAGAAATAAACCCTGTATTTATTGTAGATATTGATGAATTAGGTATAGAAAAAAACCCCTTATTGACTGTAGATATTGAGAAATAAACCCCTTATTTATTGTAGATATTGAGAAATAAACCCCTTATTTACTGTAGATATTGAGAAATAAACCCCTTATTTACTGTAGATATTGAGAAATAAACCCCTTATTTACTGTAGATATTGAGAAATAAACCCCTTGTTTACTTTATATATTGAGAAATAAACCCCTTATTGACTGTAGATATTGAGAAATAAACCCCTTATTGACTGTAGATTTTGAGAAATAAACCCCTTATTGACTGTAGATATTGAGAAATAAATCCCTGATTGACTGTAGATATTGAGAAATAAACCCCTTATATTGAGAAATAAACCCCTTATTTACTGTATATATTGAGAAATAAACCCCTTATTGACTGTAGATATTGAGAAATAAACCCCTTATTTACTGTAGATTTTGAGAAATAAACCCCTTATTTATTGTAGATATTGAGAAATCAACCTTTTATTTATTGTAGGTATTAAGAAATCAACCCCTTATTTATTGTAGATATTGAGAGAAATAAACACCTTATTTATTGTAGATTTTGAGAAATAAACCCCTTATTTATTGTAGATATGTAGAAATAAACCCCTTATTTACTGTAGATATTGAGATTTATTGTAGATATTGATGAGTTAGGTGATAGATACAGAGAAACCAGGAGATTATCTCTGAAAATCAATATTGTCACTCATAAAGCAAATGTCTCCAGTGATTTCACCACATTTTATCGAACAGAAATTGAGAAAGAAAATGTTACTGTAAATTAACTTGCTCTCTCTCTGTGCATTTACAGACATTATACTTTTAGTTCTTGGGGATCAGATATAATGTAGTCCAAAGCAAATGAAATATGATATAGTTGGTTTAAAAAAGCTTTGTTTACATAATATTGAGTTTGATTTCAGGGTTTATTTAAAAAAATAATCATGTTATATTTACTTCCTTGATGGTGTAAAGGGGAATATATACATGATCTGTACACTGAAAAAAGTATGTTGTATAGAATGTCGTGTGGTATATAATTATGCATAAAAATCAATTAAAATACACTTGCACATTAACCATCAAAAGTATGTTTAAAATTATTTGTATACATTTTGTATATATAATTATACAATCATATACATATGGATTAAGAATATAATCCTATTTATACAAGGAAGTGCTGCATCGTCAAATTTTAGAACTAAACATAAACTGATGTGATACTCTGTCTCAAAATTGTTACATCTTTATATTGATATGTTTTCTCTACATCTTTAATATCCATGTGTTTACTCAGAAGTTTGTTTCATTTCTGTTGACATGTTTTCAGAGAAGAAAAAAATTGGCACAGATTAATTAATAACATCAAAACTAATGCTCCTAACTAATGTCAAAGAGGACTAGATTTGATTATTATTTATAAAAATAATTGTGTTTGTTTAAGGTATTAGGACCCTAATGGGCACTATCAGGAACTAAAGAATTGACATCATAGGTCAGATGTATACCTTAAAGTACACCTGTATGCAAAATTTAAACAAAGTTTACCGTACGGAAATCAAGTTATGGCCACTTTTCTGAACTCAAGCTAGGATGTTATGAGGGCCCTTTTTTAGAAATGAGGAAACTTTAAATAATCTGCAATAACATTCTAATGAAAAATGTTTTCCCATGAATTTTTGGTAAGAAACAAAAAGTACCATTCAGCTAACAATCCACATAAGCAAAATTATGGTTTCTACTTAAAATTTATGAAATCTGTATAAAAATGTTACCCTACCCCACCCATTTTTACCACATGTCTGACCATTTTTCTACTTAGGGAGCCTAATTCCAAAAATTCTTAAAATTTACCCAAATGAGTGCCTGTTTTTAAAGTTTCCCTAAATTTTTAAAAAAGTATATTGGTTGATCTTGTTAAATATGAAATACTTTTACCGTCTAGTTTTGATTATATTACACTTTGAAAATATCAGGTACCATATTTATTACTAGATTTAGCATAATTTAGCCAATAAATACCTATATAAATTAAAAATTCAAAATTAAACACCTTTTTCTTTCCATATGGGACATGAGAGATACATAAATAATGTTAAAAGAAAAAAAGAAAGAAGAAAAAAAAAGTTGACCCTTCTGGGGATTGAACCCATGGCCCTCATTTTCAATGTAGTTAACAGTACTTCTAGCCGATTTGAATACTCTTCAAAGCGGAGGTAATGCATTAGGGTGCTAATACCTTAAACCAACTCTTATTATATTGTTAAGAGATTTCAAATTATGCCCCAAAAATATCTACTTTAAGTTTCACAAAGACCAAAATTTTGTTCCAAAAAATTTCGGAATCAATGAATTTCACATGACCGTCTTCTAAATCACAAGGTAACTGATCTTTAGTCACTTAAACGTTATTTTTGTGGATTTTTATTCTGCTATACTTTAGGGTTGAAATCTCTAACGCTTACTCTGCTGGAACCAAAAGAGATTATAGCCTTACACTACCAGTATAGAGGCAGGCCAGTCCGCGCATCCATGCAGTCTGACCCCCGCAGGCTCTATAACTGATGGCTAAGTATTAAAATTACATCTTGATATCATGTAAAATGGATACTGGGACAGTTTCAGATAATCAATTTTAAGATGTGAGTTTGTTATATTTAAATGGCGTCTGTTGCTGAGTGGTTATGGCCATTGACTTTAAACCACTCCCCCCCCTCGCCGCTTTGGGTTTGAATCCTGGTAGTGACATGTGAGGAAGCTATCCATCAAACTTCATCAATCAAGCATCTGTGGTTCAATTTACGTGCCTGCTTGTGCCTGAAATAATGCACAGAAGTTCACCTGAGGTTTTTCTCCACCAGTAAAGCTGGTAAATCACTGACACCATATGACCTATACTGTATTGGTGCAACATAAACACCCAACCATTAAAAGGTAGTGCAATTGCTATGCTGGTCACTCAACTAATGCACAGAGAAGTTTAAAACTATATTAACTGAAATTAAAAAAAAATTGTTTGTCATATATAAACACATAAAGACAAAAGAATTGACTCTTTGTTTATGTTGAAATTTGAAAATGAAGCTAGCAGTAAGATCTGAGTAAAGTCTGTGGAATAGATTCAAGAAAATAAGCACCACCCCTGCTGTTTATATATTTTCACCTGGTTTTACATTATATATATATATACATAATACACTTGACATAAAGTTGATGTATGTAAACATTTACACATTTCAAATTTACCGCTGACCTACATTCAGGGAATATTCGTGTTAAATGCTGCAGTATATATAGATATAGATATACATGTTTATTTTTCTACCAGGGAGAAAATTGATTATTGAAATAATTCGAATACAAACTTGTCAAAAATCTAACACTGTATTATAATGCAAGACAGGTTTTTATAGTGGCAGTTATAGCGGTGTTTTCTTTGTTAGTACGCTATATAAATTGTAATACATATAGATATACATTGTACTGTGATGTAGGATTTTATATTTTATTTTATAGCAGATATATCGGCCCTGGTTCATGTTCCAATCTGAAAATTGTTCGTAGCTTTTCACCAATTTTTAAACAAAAAAACTCCCCACTTGGAACACAAACTGTACCAGTGGCGGCTATTTATTGCTTTGTTAGTGTCTACAGTAAAATAATGGCTGACAACCATACTGCTAAAATTCCTAATCTTATTAGTGAAATGATTTTAAAGAAGAGAAAAAAATTGTTGCCATATATCTTTGTATTGTAAACAAGGTCTTAGATCTACAAAATTTTCTAAAAAAAATGGGGTTTTGTTTGTGGTTTCAATGGCAGAAAGGTTAAAGCAGCACACCTAGGTTTATGCTGATTTTCATGAAATATTTAAAAACATATGAAAAAGAAAAATATTGTGATGTGAACTAAGAAAATAATTTTCACATTGCAAGACATGAAAATATGCAAAATAGCACTTACTGTGTATGTCACTTAGTGGAACTGACACAGTAGAAATATTGTGGAATGTACTATAACATTAGTGAAAAATCGCACATGACATAGAAATTACTAATTTTTCTTGATTCATAAAATCTCAGTACTTTTTTCTCAGGTTTGATTTTCTTGTATCTGGAGGCATGCAGCTTTAAAATTGAAGGCATCGATTTACTTGCCTGCTAGAATCCTGTAAATGTTTTGCATATGTGACGTATCAAATAATAGAGGTTGGTGGTGTTTGTGCCTGAAATAATGCACACATGGGCAGCCGATTCTTCATTCACCTTCATACAGCTAAAAATACCTTTACAGGGATTGTTTTGACGAAGCTTAGATTTACCATAATCATGTATATATGACTTTGTTGTTCAGGATGTTGAGATGAAGTGCTTACCTAAATTTAATCTGTACTTATGCTTTAAATTAATTACATTTTCTGTGCCAATATATATAATTATATCTTGATAATAATTATTTATAAGAGTATCAGATAAATTTTATAATTAATGTTTAATAAACCAAAGTTGCATGTTCTCAACGAGCAATTTAAGGAGTCGACTAAATTTTTTTTTTTTTCAGGATGTGTTGCTGACTGATTAGTGTTTATACATTAACATCCAGCATTTTTTTTACGTGTATAAAAATAGGTGTTATGTTGGTGAAGCTATTTATAGACGAGTTCTTCATTCATTCATCCTTAGATCTGCTGGCAGCCTTTAATCTCTATGTTTTCATATTAAGAGGAACCTATTGATTTTTCTAGCAAGTCAAACTGCCATCTCCAATAGAGAGGAGACTGAATTTATACATGAGTCGTCATAGCAACCAGTTAGAACCTATTTTTCTCCACTCTGATTGGACGAGGCCTGTCCAGGAGAGGAGAGAGTCTTAATTCACAAAGATCGAGGAAATTATTGGAGAAAAAGAACTACTTTTATGAAAACATGTATGTTCATAATCATATGTAGGATTTAATTGGATTTATTTGTTTTTTGTTCTGGCGATATATGTTGTATTTATTAGTGGTTTATGAGATTTATTGAGGTTCGTTTTATGATGGAAACTCGACTTGCGCTGTATGAAATCTGCCGTGCTCAGCTGGACCAATTTGTTCAATAATTGAGTATAATATTTTAGAGAAATGTTGAAAAAATGGGACAATTATATATATTATTTAAATGTTAATGTGGGTTCTATTGTTCGGAACGTTGTGTGCGATGGTATTATATTGATTATTGTCTCTGTTAAACTTGGTTGTGATTGAAGGTATTATCTAACAGCAGTAGTATAAAGTTAGGATGGGTTTTATTGTAGAATGTTGAATATTGTCTTGGGTCAGAATCTCTGCAGAAAGGAAATTATTTTTCTTTCCTGTGTACGGTATTTGCGGTAACTGTATTATCCATTTTAAGAACTAAATGGAGATGTTGGGTTATTTTTAGGTTGAAACAAGACTTAGAATTTAATTATTGAAATTATACATGTATCTTCAAAAGAAAACAGAAATGTAAAGGTGATTATGTGGAATATTTTAAAGGTGTTTTAATGACAAATTAAGTTGCCACAGTAACTTTTTAGGGAGCTAAAAATTCTTGAAATCAGATATGAAAATCTATAACTTTTGCCTAGCTGCAACTAAGATTATCTTGAACATGTTAAAACAGTTTCAATTAAACTGTAATAATGGTCATATACATATTCGTCAGTGATAGGGTAGAAACTTACAGGATCTAAAAACCCAGGCTTCCCACTAGACACAGGCCGATCTGACTAGACATTTCTACCACAGGAATCTGACTAGACATTTCTACCACAGGGATCTGACTAGACATTACTACCATTTCTACCACAGGGGTTCTGACTAGACATTTCTACCACAGGGTTCTGACTAGACATTTCTACCACAGGGATCTGACTAGACACTTCTACCACAGGGTTCTGACTAGACATTTCTACCACAGGGATCTGACTAGACATTACTACCATAGGAATCTGACTAGACACTTCTACCACAGGGTTCTGACTAGACATTTCTACCACAGGGTTCTGAGTGGACATTTCTACCACAGGGTTCTGACTAGACACTTCTACCACAGGGTTCTGAGTAGACATTTCTACCACAGGGTTCTGACTAGACACTTCTACCACAGGGTTTTGACTAGACATTTCTACCACAGGGATCTGACTAGACATTACTACCATAGGGATCTGACTAGACATTTCTACCACACGGTTTTGACTACATATTTCTACCACAGGGTTCTGACTAGACATTTCTACCACAGGGTTCTGAGTAGACATTTCTACCACAGGGTTCTGACTAGACACTTCTACCACAGGGTTCTGACTAGACATTTCTACCACAGGGTTCTGAGTAGACATTTCTACCACAGGGTTCTGACTAGACACTTTTACCACAGGGTTCTGACTAGACATTTCTACCACAGGGATCTGACTAGACATTACTACCATAGGGATCTGACTAGACATTTCTACCACAGGGTTCTGACTAGACATTTCTACCACAGGGTTCTGAGTAGTCATTTCTACCACAGGGTTCTGACTAGACACTTCTACCACAGGGTTCTGACTAGACATTTCTACCACAGGGATCTGACTAGACATTACTACCATAGGGATCTGACTAGACATTTCTACCACACAGTTTTGACTAGACATTTCTACCACATGACTCTTGACTTGTAATTTCTACCACAGGGATCTGACTAGACATTTCTACCAAAGGGTTCTGACTAGACATTTCTACCACAGGGTTCTGACTAGACATTTCTACCACATGGCTCTGACTAGTCATTTCTACCACATGGCTCTGACTAGTCATTTCTACCACATGGCTCTGACTAGACATTTCTACCACATGGCTCTGACTAGTCATTTCTACCACATGGCTCTGACTAGACATTTCTAATACAGGGTTCTGACTAGACATTTCTACCAAAGGGTTCTGTCTAGACTTTTCAACCCAGGGATCTGACTAATATGATCCCTGACCTGTTTTGCTCAGCTGGTATGAACTCTCATAAGGATTGTTATATGTAGCTTGGCATGTGCCTAATTGCAGACACATGTTTATGATAGGAAAAAAAGCTACAATCTTCATTTTTAATAGGTTTTTCATGCTGATAAGGCAATGTTTATCATATCTGTCAACATTACACTATCAAGGTTACAGGAAAGTATTAATATCTTAATGATGTTAAGATGTATTAACCACCCTAGACATTTTGAATTCCTTTTCTTAAAAGTTTTGAAAGGTTTGTTTGGGATTTTTTATTGGTTTATTTTTGTTTATCTTTTTTTTTGTAAATAGAAGTATACTGATTTATTAATGGAATGATTTGTTAAGGTTATGCTGTAGTTAAAGCAAGACATATTTTCATTATGTCTGGGCCATGGTTCTCGGGTGTTTTCATTGAAAATTGATTATTAATGATATCATAATAATCATCTTTGGTTAGGTGATTATAGACCAGGCATTAGGTTGTTAATTATAGAACCAATTCTGTTTTGTATTATTACAGTAGAACTTCTATGAGTCAAACTTCGATTAGTAAACTTTCTCTATGTGTTGAAGTAAAATGAAAGGTTGATTTATTCCCTATTATATTCTTTATAAAATCCTATACATGAGTCTAAGTCCCGATGTGTTGAAGTTTTTACACAAGTCTCTCTACTTACTGAAGTTCTACTGTATATTTGTTTGTTTTTGAGAGTTTTTATTGCCTATTTCTGATGATGTGATATACCAAATTTTTTTTCCTCGAGTACCCAAGTTAACGTGATAGCGTGTTTATATTATCTGCTGATTTGATGGTACTTCAAGTGGTCTGTAAATGTGCAAAGCAGTTATTCCGTTTAACCTTGACCCTGCTTCAACCGAAAGCTGATTAGCCTTTGCCAGACTAGCCTGCACATCCATGCTGTATGATGTGGCTCAATACCTATGGGGGCGTCTGTGGCCGAGTGGTTAAGGTCGTTGACTTCAAACCACTTGCCCCTCACCGCTGTGGGTTCGAATCCCTACAGGGACTTTGGATTCTTTCATGTGAGGAAGCTATCCAGCTAGCTTACGAAACGTCGGTGTTCACTCTGGTTCCAGTTCGTGACTGAAATAATGCACAGAAGGCCACCTGAGGTCTTCCTCCACCAGTAAAGCTGGAACGGCGCAATATGACCTATAATGTGTCGATGTGAGATAAAATTCAAAACAAACAAACAAACAATACCTATGACTGACTAACCTTGATTGTATCGTGATATCCCTAACATTTAGAATGGACAAATTCCTGAAATGGAAACTGGTCATATCCATTTAACAAATTCAGGATGGTCATCATTTACATGTAAAATGTAAATGACAGAAAAAAAGGATTGACTGCAATTTTGAAGTGAATGCTACAGTAGTTAAACTAGAAAATGCACAGCAAATAATGAATCATTGTGAATTGTTTACAAATATTTTTGCAGGAATATCTCTGTATTTTCCATGTCAGTGTTTAATGTTATAAAGTCCCTAGGTATATATTTCTTGTATTACTATTTCAGATTGAATGAAAGGCTTATGATGACCTAGACAGTAAATGGGCAGACAAGGTGAAGGGTGAAGGTTAGTGGGAACAATGGCGAAACGAAAGTTGGGCGACACGGAGGACGGGTATTCGTCGTCTTCATCGAGGGAGGAAAACGATGACGGGAACAGCTGTTCAAGCTCGGCATCAACCAATAGTAGTACAGATGTGCCAACAGGTATTGAATTATATAGATTGGTACTAGTTTATAAAACTTTTACTTTTTACTAGGTTTAACCAACCAATATGAAATTTATCAAAATAAGCCTAACATTGACAAGACATTGTGTATCCAAATTATGATATCTCATTTTGCTGCCAGATGATTGAAGTTTTAAAAAATGGGTAATGGCAGAGTGAGCCCTGAAATGTTTCTAGAGGCTTTGTTTCTTGGAGTGCTTGAGTATAAATTATGCTCTTTTTGGTGAGTGGGACTGGGTCGAGATCATCAAAATGACACTGTTAAAGTCATAAAATTATGGCGACTTTCCAACTTTACTGGTGGAGGAAGACCTCAGTAAAACAACCAATATTTTATAAGCTAGCTGGATAGCTTCTTTACATGAAAGAATATAACGTCCCTGGCAGAATTCAAACCCCACAGCTGCTTACCACTTTGCCATGGATGCCTCCCATGCCCTTTTTTAAATGACATAAAATGATCAGTTAGTTTGATTTTATTTCTGGTTTGCAATTTTTCATACATTGTGCTAGTGTTTCTTATATTGCGGCATATTACATTTAAAAAAGATGTTAACAAATTATTATTTCTTGTTTCAGGATCAAAACCAAAAAAACAGAAAACCAAATCAGTAAAGTTCAAAGGTGTGAATGTTTTCTACTTCCCTCGAACGCAGGGGTTCACGTGCGTACCTAGTGAAGGAGGCTCAACTTTGGGTGAGTACTGAGCTGGGAAGCTTATATTTGTTTAAGTTTAAAGTTTGTCAGAGTTTGATTAAAATTGTTTCAACATGTTCGGGTCTAGCATATTTGTCGTAACAAGTATTTTGATTGATGCTGTGCTTAACAGATAAGTGTAATAGACAATCTGTATATTATACAATTAAGTGACCATTTGCAAGATACTCGAGAAAAAAAATCTAAATATATCCATTTGTTTGATATCCAAGATATTCAGAAGGTTTGGTACCGATCATGCAGTGATTGTAGCCAGCCATGAGAGTCGTATGTCAGCTAGTTGGTACCTATTATTTTTGATAATCATAAACATAGAAGTTTATATGAGAGATAATTGAAAATGAATTACTTGAGAAGTTTGTGGCAGTCACTTTAAGAAGTTAATTTTAGTTCCTGATTAATTGAGGATGTTTCTGCCTACTTAGCTCAAATGGGAGAGTATTAGATTTGTAATCCAGCGTTTGCTGGTTTGATCTTCAGGTGTGGCTAAATTCTTTCATGACATTGATGGTCATTTGTCTGTCACCACTGAAATCAAGTGTGGTAAGAAATTGGTAATTACAGGTAGTCATTTTACTGGTTAGTTATCCAGGAGAGCTTGTACTTGTAACAGATGCTGAAGCAGACTAGTATGTTGAGACTTGTGTGTTTAAAATGTTTGAAACCAAATGACTATTTAACAAAATGACTGTATTTATTTTGCAATAATAGGTTTAGCAAAGGAATGATAAATTTATTTTATAATGAACATAATTATTGTGTCTATTAACAGGTATGGGAGAGAAGCATTTACACCGAGATGATTTTACGTTAGCGGAATTCGCTCGTGAACAGCGACGAATTCACCGAGAAATGCTGGAAAAACAGCGTGAAGAGGGTAAACTTATGGAAGGACTTGAAGCTCGTCTTGCCGAAATGGATGAAGAGGAAGAAGGGTGCAATAGTGATGATGATAGTGACTGGGAATTCGAAGATCTCGATGATTACTACTTTTTACAACCGGTGTCAATTCGGCAGAGACGAATAATGTTGCGTAATAATGGGATTAAGAAAATTGATAATACAGAAAAAGACTCATGTAAACAAATCCGACAATCTCGTGAACAATGTGGTTGCGATTGTAAACTGTATTGCGATCCGAAGACGTGCGCGTGTAGTTTAGCGGGAATTAAATGTCAAGTGGACAGGTTGTCTTTTCCATGTGGTTGTACTAAGGATGGATGTGCCAATCCAACGGGTCGTGTGGAATTTAATCCAATTCGTGTACGAACTCATTTTATTCATACTGTAATGCGATTGGAATTTGAATCAAAATGCGAGAAGAGTTGTAAATCAAGTGACTCGGAGAGTGACGATAAGGATTCTGTGAATCTTTCTCAGTTTAATAGTAACGAAAGGGGATCATGTAGGGACTGTCAGAATTCTGAATTCAGTAACGCGCTCATGCATGAGATGGAGTACGCGGCTTTGAATAGGGGACAGAGTCACATGACAAATTATAACATGACAAATTCATTTACGCACGTAACAAATGGTCAGAATGGAAACATGAATGGCATATTTAAACCAAATCAGTCATCTTTATCTTACGCAAATCTCACAAACTCAACATTGAACAGTATGTATAATTCTGCGACGGAATTTTATAACGCAGAAAATACAACAAGCATGTACGATTTTCATGGTCACAAAGACGATGCTTCTTCATATTCAGAAATGAGTGAAAGTTCAAATGAAGATGGTGTCATGTATCGGAAATCTTTCGGAAATTTACCGCGATTTCAGCAAAACATGAACTGTGTACCCAGTACTTCTGCGTTTTCTGTTAGTTCAAATTCAGATCAAAAGTTTTCTGACATAGCTGAAGCAACTGAACCTGCATTTAAACTACAACCCATATCATCTATTTTGAACTCTGTTAATGACACGTTTTCAACGCAGAGTTCAGCTCTATGGAACTCGGATGGTAAGTTAACAGAAAATCCACTGTCGACAGGTTTACCGGCTGTCTCGACAGCATCTCTTCCAGATTGTTGCTACACAACCATGAATAACACAACATCTGATAAAATCGCAGAAACTTGCCCGGGAATTTCCTCGCACATGAACAAAGAGGTAAATAGTAGCGATATAGGCGGACTAGTGCATTCTGCGAGCGAGTCCGACAATCTGTCTGTCAGCAGTTTTTACGATTCAGACTCATCAAACCATGCAATTACCCCGGCTTGTTACGACATTGATACTAACGAGAATGAGAAGAAATTGCGCGAGACCATAGAAGTTGCCGCACATAAAGTGTGCGAGGATTCGACTGGACCAAACTTTGGAGAAATTATAAAAGAATCTATATTTGAAATAGTCTCTGCTTAGTTAATGTTACCAAATTCAGCTTTATACAGCTTACCCTGCCGAATATCATGAACAAATTCATCTGATTTTCATATTTTTAAAAGAGTCTTGTTATCCATTTTAGAGATACCATGATTTAAAAAATTTAAAATCGGTCATCATTCAACATGTTAGAGCTTTGACAGAATATAGTGAAGAGCTTGTTAGTCTGGCTCTTTCCTAATGGCAAATACTGGACACTTTAAGTTCCAGTTTAATGATGGTTAAGATCTAAAGAATTCTTTTCTTACACTATATGTTCGATATTTACATAGAATTTTGTTAACTGTAATGCAAAACTGGGCTGATAGCAAAAAAAATGTTTATTATAATAGAAAGTTTAAAAGTGGGCTGATAGCAAAAAAAATGTTTATTATAATAGAAAGTTTAAAAGTGAAGCAAACAAAATAAATGAATAAAAATTATTAATTAGAAATTTCGAAGTAGAAATAACTTATTTTAGAAAAGTTTAGTATATTATATTTCTTAGTTTTTAGATCAGAGATAAAAATACGCAAACATATTTTTAAAAATAAATATTTGATTGATAAATCAGGGTGTTTTTGCACTGTCAGTCCATTTTGTTAAGGGTTGTTTTTTTTAACACAAGAAACTATGTTGCAAAATTTAAACATTTTAAGATGTTACCATCTTTTTACAATGTTTTTTTTCCTTCCTTGAGCTATTGTACCAAAATCTGGTACCAAATGTTTTGTATGTAGTTGATTTTAAATTCATGAGGACTTTTTTTCTCAAATGTTTCTGTTATTTATACATTAAGTGTTTACGAAGCATTTTTACAATGGCAGATTTTTGTCTGTTCACTTGTTTTTAGTGCAAGAGAAAATGTTAATGTCATTACCTTGCATTTGATGACTTTATTGATATATAATGTATTTTGTCATATTTGTATAAGAGAAACAATATTTTTACCTGGCGTAAACAAAATTCTTCAGATTATTTTTAATGTGTAGTTCAAACATCGCTTATTTTAGCATGTTTTCGAGTAATGAATTTTTTACAATTGTTTCACAAACTTGCGGTTACATAATCATTTAATTATTTCAACTTACGTTTCTATAACTTACATTTAGTTTTCATCTTTAAAGACAAGTTTACAAGTTGTTTTCTATAGACAGTGCTGGTTCACACTATTTTGTTACTAAATATAGATATTTGTTGATCTATTTTTAGCATTTTGAATACTGATTGGTAATACTGAGTTATGTGCCCCTGATTTGATAACAATATATTGTTCTTTTGAAATTAAAGAGTGACTGGTCTATAACACATGGTTGGTTCCCTTAAAAAATTATGTAATATTTGTAAAATTGCCATTTTTGTACAAAGCATGAAGTAGTTCAGTAAATGGACTAGGCAGTGTTGCATTTTAAGAGTAAGACAATAAGTAAGCCAATGATGCCAGGATGTTCAATTTCTTTGAAAGTTTGCCAAAATGCATTTTTCAAATAAGATATATTTACAAGATTATCAGCATTTATGTATTTTGGAAATTTGTCATTTTTTTGGTAAGTTTTCAAGACTTTAGACTTGACCAGGATAATGCTGAACGAAAATACAGTTTTATTGTTATTTAGACCAATCAGATTTATGATGTCTTAAAATAGAAGCTATGACCTAGAGGTGAGAATTTTATTCTTCGATGGAAGAGTGTGTCTTTTCATCACACTCTTTGTTTTGTTGAATCTCTTTTACCGTATGATGATCTGAAAAATCTCTGTTTTTTGTTATATTCTATACATTTTTCCTAAGGCATGCTATATTTATTTTGCAAAAAGATTACCATGTGGGGAAAGGGAGCTAATTCTGCATCGACAATATATATTAAGTGTTGCAAGAGTTGTCTTTCTTTGTATAATTTTTCAATACAAGTGACAAAATTCATATTGATACATCACTCATATGTGAAGTATACTTATTCAGTCTGAAAATAAATGGAAGAACTAAAAATAAGAGAATTTAGATAAATTTGTTTGAAAATGGTTTGCAACACAAAATAACTGTTTTAAACTTTTAATGAGTAATTAGATTAATTCTAAATATAAATATAAACCCTGTTCAAGAAGTGTACCGAGTTGTAAATGTTGTTAAGTATATTTATATCTTTTTTCTTCTGTATACAGAAGATTGTTTTTATTGTTCATGTTTTACTTTGTGAAAATAAATTTCATTGTATACTATAATGAACAAATTTTTGATTGAGAAAATTGTACAAAAAAATTTTACAAATTTTTTCCTTTTCTTTTTAGATGATATTGTATATTTGCAAAAGTTGTGTTTATATTATGTAAAATTGTCAAGAATTGTATAAAGATTTAAGTGTTGTTCAAATAATTAAGCATATCTTTGTAAGCATGTGCAAATAATTTTTTTCTGCATGGCTGTGTTAATGATGAATGTAAAATGAATTAATGGCCGGTTTTATTGGTTTAAAACAAGTGTGTTTATAAAAGAAGCAAGATTTTTACTTGGAAAATTTTACCTTTAAATATTTTTAGACTGATATACCTTTTCTTATGATTTTGGCTTTTAAGGATAAAAGAAATAAAGATAAGTTACCAGTCTGAAAAATAAAATCATACTGAAATAGACCAATCATTGAGAAGATTTTAGTAGACTGGTTTAAAATTCTCTTTTTTTAGGAAATTTTTTTAAAGGGGACATGTTTTTGTGGAAAGGTTTGAGGAATAAACACCTTTATTTTGGCTACAAAGGTCACACTTAAAAAATAGCTTAAAGCCTGCTGGTCTACATACATTGTATTAGAAAACTTGCTGTTTCATAGGATGTTATGAGTAAAATCAAAGAAATAAACAGATATTTAAAATAGTAGTAAATGTATAAAGAAAGGAAAGTTAGGGGAGGGGGAGGGCAGGCTTAATTCAATATTTTCACATTTTAAGTGTTTAGCAGATGAAGAATGTCTCCCAATAGGAAAAAAAGGAAATAAGAATTAATTCTATTTGTTGTGGCGTTAAAATTAGTAGTTATGATAAATATTTACAGGAGTTTTGCTGCAATGTGTTGGAAATGGTACTATCCTAAAAAAGTGTTCATTTTTGTCATTTTCATATAGAAACAAAAAATTCTAAATTTTTTAAATATTTTCTATTGATTTATAGATGTTACAACAGTGTCATATGTGTTTTAGATCATGTAAAATTTTGTCATTAAGCTCAGTGTGTTATGTTATGTGTCCATGGAATTGAAATTTTTTATAAGTTTGCCAAAGTTCATTTAGCATAATCTACAAACATATTGTACAAATCTTTTTCATGAAAAAAAAGCCAAGATACTTTTTAAAATGTGCCATATCTGTTGGAGAGAATTGGCTTTGTTCTTTTTTAGTTAATATGATTTTTAGCTCTCTAAATATAGATTCTGGAATCTATTGATATTGTAAGCGTAAGTTAAATGAACTGCAATCTTAAAAAGGACAATGCAGTGGTATGCATTCTATTTATAGATACTGCAGTCTAATTATAGATTCTGCAATCTAATTATAGATACTGTAATCTATTTATAGTACCTGCAAGCTGAAGACACCGCCATCTTTGTAAAGAAAATGCAGTCTTGATATAGTTTATAAATGCTATTTATAAACACTGCAATGTATTTATAGATAACAGAATCTATTTTTAGTAACTGCAGGCTGAAGACACGGAAAGAGAGATATCATACAATCTATTTATAGACACTAATATTTTATAGAAAATGCCCTGTGAATCTGTTTGACAATTAATGAAGAATTGAGCTCAAGCTTAGTAATAATTATACAGTTTCTTCTGAAGATTAATTTGTTTTTAAACTTTGATTACTTAAACCCTTTTATTGAATTATAATTATGAAGTTACAGGTACCCCTTAAACCATTTTGTTAATTAAAAGGTATGAGTCAAACTGATATCAGGAAATAAAACCAAAGGTTCGTTCATTGTTATAAATATTTGTTATGAGGTCTTTTATTATCATACACCAAGGTAGTAATAAACGATTATTTCTGAAAAAAAAATGAATTTTATTAAATATTATTTAAGAGAATATTTCTGACAGAATTATTGTATCAATAATCTTTTCTACAGGAGTATAGTCTGGTTTTGTTAAGCAATCAGATTTGCTTTTTCATGGTCTTAACATGACTTTTGATAAGAAAGGCATTTATTGTTATTCGAAAGTTCCAATTTCGTCTTAAAAGCATTCTGAATAATTTTTTCTGGTCAAAAACAGCTTGAATAATCTATGTTTCTTGTCCAAAGTTATAAAAGAAAAATTCTTTGCTCAAATGCAGATCTCTGGCATTTGATTGGTCAGAAACTGTCACAGGATGTTGTACTCTGACCAATGAAATTCCTAAGATTTGAGACAGAGTAAAAAGAAATAATACAATCCCCGAGGCCTGCTTTTGTTCTTTACTGAAATACGCAATATATATTTTGACTTGTTTAGAGTGCTTAATTGATTTTGGGCCTGTTGTTAGATCTCAGTTTTCAGTATCATAATATTTGAAACAAACATTTTTTTTATTGGTTGTTTTGTCCTAACAGATAGAGTGAAGAAAACAGATATCTTTTAACTTACAGTTCGCGTAATAAAAAACAACAAATTTTATTTTATATATATTTTCTTGTTTATTTCTTGTTATAATTGAGTTGTTTCTTCTTTTTTTAACCACTTGCATTTATATGCTCGTTAATTGGGCTCAATTAGTTATTGTTATCGTAGATCTTTGTTAACTGTGTATTGTACCGTCTTGTTTTTTTTTAAAAAGTTGTTTTACTAATATGTTTGGTTATGTCTAGGAACAAGGAGGGTTGATTATTATGGTGCTGTAACATTAAAACATAGTCATTTACCACGATTTCTACAATCTTAATATTCCTAGAGACTGGTCTCAAAATTCTGACTTTTCATTGGTTATTAAGTCTGTAATTTTGACCAATGAGAGGGCTTAGATTAAGCATCTGTGAGTGAAAAATTAAAACAAAATCCTCATGCATGTTTTCCTCCAGACACAATAAATTAAACGAAAACATTTAATTTACCATGACAACATTGAAAGAGATATGTATGTATCTTTCTTTATTTATAAACACAATATGTGACATATATAATTATAATGATGAAAATAAGTTTTAAGTTAAATTTATGAGTTTTATTAACTGAGTTTTCTCAAGTCATGGATGTTGCTTTTGTTTAAACTACTTTGACAGACGGCCATTTGCCCAAAAAGTATAATTATGTATTGTTTATTGACTAATGGAGATTTGATACTTAGTTATTTTTATAATAAAATGCAAGGATTACAGTGGGGTTTTTCTTCTCAACTTTCAGGACTATTGTCTTTGTTTTTTTTGTCAAGAGTTATGGCCCTGTTGGGCCAGTATACATAATTATAGTATGGTTTTTCTCATATCAAGGTTTTTAATGGCCCCTGTTTAGAAATTCAAAGAAAATTGTTTTCTTCATGAATAATGATGATTTATTTAATTCAGAATCGTTTTATTTGTGGCTTTAATATTACTTTACCAATCAAGTTAAGTTACAGATATTTTTAACATTGTCAAAATTTTTACTGGTATATTGCACATAAGATTAGACATGGTCAACATAAGTATTTGTTTTAAAGGCACATGGAGCCTCGGAAATGAATTATTGATTTGTTGCTATAAAAATTGGTGAACATGTGCTTTATATTGCTGCTTTATATTGCTGTAATAGCTTTATATTGCTGTAATAGCTTTATATTGCTGTAATAATGGGTTTATAACAAGATGCTCATCACCTGAAGAAAAATATGTAATTTTAATAATAAAACATTAATTAAATTAGAATTTATTAACCAAGTAGGGGTTGCTTTTGAAACTACTTTTCAAACCCATTTGCATCAAAGGGGTTAAATTCTTATTGTACCAAAACTTTTTAATTAATAATGAAAAAGTCAAAGAGTATTGTCAATAAAGTTGTTCAAGAAATTTCTTGGTTAAAGGGAACAACTATTATAAAAAAAAAAGCTTTTAAAATAAAAAAATATTAGCATTTTTCAGGCTTATGTGGCCTTTAAATTAAAACATGGCAACAGAAAATACCTATTGTTACAGTAGTTATTATAGGTTCATTGTTAATGTTTATTCAACATTCATGTTGACTCAACATATATTGTAATTCAACATTTTGAGGGAAATTTTGAGGGAAATTCAGTCAATAGCATATTGGTAGTTACGGGGGATTTTGTCATTAATATATCAATATATAAATATATACTTTGAAATATGGCTTTTGGCTGGTGAATTTAATTGTTCATAATAATAATATATTTAGCTTCAGAGGCATGGTATTTTTACCAGTACTTCCCTTTTTTTGCCCTTTCTTCAAATTTTGTCAATGATCTCAAAGTCAGCTATAAATTTTTCTCTCTTTTTTTTCGTAAGTTTGATCAAAATTGCTATATCAGTTACAATAGATGTTAATTTTTTTTCCCCACAAACTGTGTTTATTCTTTATGTAAGTCTAAACTGTTACATTTTTTGTACAAGTTGCATTTTACTGAACGTATGTCCAAAGATAATAACATCATCAAAATGAAATGTTAATTGCAATAAGTCATGTGAATCTAAATTATTTGTTAAACATATGTTTTACTGTTTGGGACATATGTAATATGTATTTTTGTGTTTCTATAAGTCAAAACAGGTGTTTTTGAGAGGCGATTTACAAGCTATATTTTGTGCTGTTACATGTGAAACTGTTTGTAAAGTATCAATTTTGTAAAGCAAATTTACGCAAACGACTGCAATACATAAAAGATTACATGATTATATATGAGCCGCGTCATGACAAAACCAACATAATGGGTTTACGACCTGCATGGATCCAGACCAGCCTGCGCATCCGTGCAGTCTGATCAGGATCCATTCTGTTCGCTTAGAAACCCTATTACAAGTAGAGAATCTGATAGCGTCAACAGCACGGATCCTGATCAGACTGCGCAGATGCGCAGGCTTGTCTGGATCCATGCTGGTCGCAAACCCATTATGTTGGTTTTGTCGTGACGCAGCTCATATATCGTACGTATACACACAACCTGTCTGAGCGAATTATTTCTCACGTTTTCTGAGATGTGTAATTTTCTAGATTTACATTTCAGTGCTGTTATAACTGGGACCAAACTAATAACGTATTTTTTATATACATCTAAAACAAAAACATTTTGATAATTATGTTTTCGTATGTGCAATTATTGTAAATCCACTGTAAAAACCACATGCTTTTTCTTTCCTTTTGCAAAAATATTAACAATTTTTCAATTAAACTGAAGTTTTTTTCAAAGAAAACCAGTCTTATCATTGCAAGCATCTGATTGGTTAAATTTGAATTTCAGTTTTCAAAATTGACCAATAGCAGGGGCTTTCAGCCTAGACAGGTTTTCATTTTAATGATTATAATGTTAAATTCTACCATTTTATAAGGGTACACAGTCTGTGTATCTGGAGATGTAAATGTTGTCTTATGAGAAATAGTGAGAGGAAAATACTTTTATGGATTGCAGTCTGTTATGTTTTTACGCTGATTTATTGTACACTGATTTTGTTGATTGTTTTCTAAGCCAAAGCATGAGTATTCTCTATTGTGTTTCATTGTGATTTGTTTTACCGAATATCAAACTAGATTTAGAGCTATTATTTAAGGGCCAATGTGTTTTTGTATTTTTATCCAGCATGTGTAATTAAAAACATAGTTCATGAATATAATGAGTAGAATTTTTGAAATTTAGAAAAGTAGCACAGCTTTGATTATGTGATGGTGCAGTCAGTTAGAACTGTCAAGTCTTAAAATAGTGTTTATATAAACCCAGGTCTTATTTCTCATTAGTATATATTATACACTGTGAGATCAAATTAATTATGCATAGTGATTTAAGCTTAAAATATGTATTGATAAATACTGCTGAAGAATATTTCTTACGAAGATTTTTCATTAACATCACCATTCAGACTTTCATTAGCATGCTAGGTGCCATACATAAGTCATGCAGTATTCATTTCTGTAATAATTATGGCATCATGTAGGCATAGACAAACCCATACAAACAACAAACATTACAAAGAAAAGATAAAAAATACTTGAGTAAAAGATTTAAAATGAGCTTCTTTGGTTTATATTCAGTTACAATAATTTTGTCCCCAAGGCAACAGAAAGTGTAAGCCAAAAGGTTATTTAGGATGTTTTTATTTCTAAAATCGGTGCTGAATGTTTGAGGTCTTCATACATCTGACATTTACAGTGCCAGTGTTACTTGAAATTTGAACTAGAATGAATGTTATATTAAAATTTGTGTCAGTTTTATGAGACAAAAAATAACAGAGTTGGCTTCTTTAGAACTATGACAGTTTTAACATTTTAGAATACTTTGGTTGATTAATACACATGTATGATTATTTTGTAGACATTATGTAAACAAATCTCATGCAAATGGATAAAAAAGCAAAAACTCATGGGTCTTAAATATGTTCATATTTTTAGACATAGATAGATAGATATAATATATATTGTACACAAAGTCTTGGTGCAATAAAAAAAATCTTCAGCAATGCATCTGTTTTGTTGTTATTTACAATAATAGTATGGGACGTCAGTGTTTGTTTGCTTGTTCAAAGGCAAATGGCTAATTTGGTAAAATATTTACAGCTCAATGGAGCATAGGCTCCTGTTGGACAGTCAATAGTATAACAAACTACACGAGAAAGGGGGAGCATGTGCTTGTTAATTCCAGGAAATGGACTTGAGGTTGTTTCAAGAACCTTCAAGCTTTCATTACAGTCAAGTTTAGATATGTTAATTAATAAACTTATGAATGATTCATTTTTGATCCATAAGGACTGGCGATATAGGCCCTACTTCATCTACCATCGTGTTTGGCTTCTTTTTTTGCAGCTGTCCTTACTAGCCCTACTTTAAAGTTCAATGATAATACTAGTAGCTCGTATTCTGATGACAAGCAATATCGTTGGCATAGTGTCATTAGGCCCTGTCCAGTTTACAATATTATTTACATACACAAAAAAGAAAGATCAGAAAGGTTCGAGGTATATGCCATAATGCAACAATTCGCGTCTTAGATGAAAAAGAATTCTGACCTAATGGAGCGTGCATTACAAACCCCTGACAAATATACCAGGCAAGTTTTGAAAAGAATCTGTGTGCCAATGCCCTGAAAGCGAGTTTACCTTGTGGTTCGTTCTGAAGCTTGGGAAATGTAAGTATCTGATGACTGACACAAAACAATCCCCGATGTGCAATTGCATGATAATTTGAATCATATACAAATAAAATCCCTATCACCATATTTTTCAAAGTTTTCGGCCGTATTTCGCTCTTAAAAGGGGTTCACATCAAACTTCCTTCAAATGGCAACTGGTAAATAATATTTTCAGACCAGTCTCTGAATTTGAAGTGATTTTAAAGAACTTATCCAATGAAATGGCATCCCGTGTAATGCTGAGGCCGGAAACCAGTA